TACGAGCTCTGTCTCGTTCTCTATTTTGCCAGCATGCAGACTCTCCTCTGTTTAGCGTTTTTTTCTCAAACAGGTGATTCTCCGGAGGTTGGAGATTTAGCTGCTCCATGTCAACATTTCACACTCGTTGTGACAACTAACTAACCAATGCCACTCCAACACCAGACAAACGCCAAAGTATCCAGAGCAACTTTTCTCTATTTACAGATATGATGAGACACATGGGCGAGTGACGTACGCAATTTCCCAGATACCATCCTGCAGTTCTAAATTATAAACATTTAATAGGCTTACCGTAGTGAATCACTGTAAGACGAAAACACCTTTTGGAAGCAGAGATGGGCACAAATACATCAAAAATTATTTATTTACAAATTACAAATACTTACTCATCAAATGTATTTAAATAAAATACAAAATACTGCTGTGAAAAAAGTATATGATTAAAATACAAGTAATTTGTAATTTGAAAATACAAAATACAAACAAAATTTACAGTCTTGTGTAGTGTGAGAGTAAGTGTGGAGTTAGATACATGTAAGAGTATAAAATATCGGAATATCATCGTTTAGTGCAGAAGATGCACTTTTAACGTACATGTTGCCACATACTGTCAAAGATCATTACGCCTATAACACTTATTTGTATAATATTACACAAAAACTAGTTAACGCTGCTGTGAGGGTGTTTCTAGTTCCACGGCTGTGACAAAGTTGACATCTTTCTCTCTTCCGAATGCCATTATCAATCTATTTTTTTTGTTGAAAGTTGTGAAAACACTGTTGTGGCGTTTTTCTTTTGCTATTTGAGAAAATGGGAACACAAAAAATATATATTTAATGTAGTCTCTCATTCACTGCTATAGAAGTTTACCCAACTATGAAGCCTTCCATTTCTGAGAAACCCGGAAATGTGAACAGGATCAATAGGATGCGTCACATCACGTGATTTTCTTGCCAAAAACTGAAAGGCAATTTGTTAGTCCTATTTGTATTTTATGTCTATGGTCCTAGGGATAGTTCACCGAAAAATTAAAATTAGCCCATGATTTACTCACCCTCAAGCCATCCTTGGTGTATGACATTCTTCTTTCAGAAGAATACAATCTGAGTTTATTAAAAAATGTCCTGGCTCTTCCAAGCTATAATGGCAGTGAATGGCTGTATATTTTTTGAAGTCCATCAAAGTGCCTCTATCCATCATAAAAGTGCCTCTATCCATCATAAAAGTGCCACTATCCATCATAAAAGTGCTTCACACGGCTCTGTAATAATAACACGGCTCTGTAATAAATGTACAATTACATTGTAATAAACGTATAATAACACTGTAATAAATGTATAATTACATGCAATAAACGTATAATTACATTGTAATACATGTATAATTATATTGTAATAAACGTATAATTACATTGCAATAAATGTATAATAACATTGTAATAAACGTATAATGACACTGTAATAAATATATAATTACATTGTAATAAACATATAATAACACTGTAATAAACGTATAATAACACTGTAATAAATATATAATTAGATTGTAATAAACATATAATAACACTGTAATAAATGTATAATTACACTGTAATAAATGTATAATAAAACTGTAATAAACGTATAATAACACTGTAATAAATGTATAATAACACTGCAATGTATAATTACATGTAATAAATGTATAATTACATGTAATAAATGTATAATAACACTGTAATAAACGTATAATAACACTGTAATAAACGTATAATAACACTGTAATAAATGTATAACTACATGTAATAAATGTATAATTATATTGTAATGTATAATAACACTGTAATAAATGTATAATAACACTGTAATAAATGTATAATAACACTGTAATAAACGTATAATAATTTTGTAATAAACGTATTACATTGTAATAAATGTATAATAACACTGTAATGTATAATTACATTGTAATAAACGTACAATTAAATGCATAATTACATTGTAATAAATGTATAGTTACATTGTAATATTAACACTGTAAACAATGTATAATTACATTGTAATAAACTTATAATAAATACAATAAATGTATAACAACCACCTTGAAAAGAAACGCTACATTTCTCGAAAAGAATCGCTACTTTTTTACTTCAGGAGTAAACAGTGTAGCTGACTTCATTTTTACCTGACAGAATGTTTATTTTTAAACCACAACTTCAATGCGTGCTTCTTTTACAGATATATCCACCGATATCTTTTGCATTTCTAATCCAAACAATGTCAAACTCGGCACTGCACTTACTCGTGCCCGTAGCAAGACACCTGTCAAGTTTGAAATCCATCGGACTAACGGTTTGAGAGATATTCGATAGACAGACAGACAGACAGACGTTCCTGTAATTTACAGATAGATGGCCACACACTACTTGCGCATGCATATTTTTAAACTGTAGCATTTATTGAACTAATAACATTACAGGTATACTTTGTGGCTTGTATAACATTTTGTCTAAGATTTGCTTGTATAACGCAAACATTTTTAGTTCCAATAACCCTAATTTAGAACTGTTTCTCATTTATGCATTCTGGCAGACACTCTTATCCAAAGTTCAGGTCTGAGCTACAGGAATGTAGTTAAAGCTCTTAAAAATGCTAATCTACAGTATCAGAGAGGATTCAACCGGTGGCTGATTGTTCACTGAGCAACTGAGATCACAGTCAAGTCTCATAAGCAGGTCTCACGACACACGTCCACATTCACACCCCATGCAACCATGTGTCCCAAGCTATACTCTCACACCCAGCCTGCTCTTCCCAAACCACACGGCCCTCAGACGGCTGATCGTCCCCTTTCATGCCCTGAGGTTTCAAATTTGCACTCCCCAATCTGCTTTTACCGAGGACGCTGAGTCAACATTGCGTAAGCGACAAGAAGTATTTTCGTTGATTCATTATAGGGACTGTTATGTAACAATGTGCTTCTAACTCTCTCCCTTTTGGATCCCCTTTTCATATCAAGTTATAAAAGTTGTTTTCACCGAGTAAGAGAGTGTCGCTTGTTTTAGCCCTGGCAATCAAACACAGAAACCCTGTCATTCCCTACAGATCATTCTCACTGGCCACAGATAAACATGTAAGCAAAGTTTTTCACTCAAAAACAAACTTTTAACGCCATGCCAGCAGCTATAGGTTTTAAAAGGGCACGTTGGGGCTTCATAGGCAGAAAGAAAACAAACAGGCGATACATGTAGGCCAAAATTCCTTCCGACTTCCCACAGATCGCTCTGCATTATAGGGTGTGGAGGGGCACTGCAAGATTATACAAATCAAAGCGATCACATGGTGCATTTAAAACGCATCCTGCAGGCAATTTCGCCTCCGCGGGACGGCCTGCTTTTCACCCACTGTTCTTTCTGCCGTGTCACCACAAACCCTGAACCCAAGCGTTTAAATTTGGCGTTCCGTGAGTGGTCGGTGTCTGGAAATTGTTCACATCCTGTTTACGTCGGAGATTTTCTAACCTCGAACCGCATCTGGCTGGCGAGTCCACTAGTCAAATCTGCATTTTCAGCGAGTGAAGAAAAAAAAAGGACAAACCTTGAGAGTAGGCCACTCGCTGGGCCGTGTGATAAATACATATAAATGCACAGCTTTGGGAAAGTTCTATACACGTGCTGAATATGGACAAAGAAGCCACAAAATATTATTATATAATCAAAATTTATTGTATTTAGCACATAAACACATATAAACATCACACACAAAAAAACTATTTACACTTGCAAATTCCAAAAATATAAACCGATCTACAGTGAACTTCATACAAACTCTAAAAAGGATGCCCTGCTGGCGTATATTGTGTGCGTCACTGTTGTGATACAAAGAATGCGAGGAGATACTAGTCGAAAAAGCTTATTTATCAGACTATGACCAATGCAGGAGACGGTTAACACCGTGTCCTAACTACACGCGGCGGCGCGATAAAATTCCAGCGACAGCAAGTGTGTCTGTCCACACTAGACTCGACGCGACTGTGAGACGCCACACGTCAATCAAAAATCACAGCCATTCAGAACAGCGTGTGGGCGGAGTCTCTCTGTGAAAGCGCATTGGAAATGGGTAAGGACATGATCAAATCAAGAAATAACATTATTAAAAATCAAAACATTAACAAAATATACTCATTGACTAATTTTGTTATGAAGTACAGTTGTATGTTTGCATAGAATTCAGTTTGAACGCTATATTATATGCTTTCAAAATCTGAGGTAAAGTATCCATTATCGCTTGTGGCACAGTGACCTATTTTTAACTAAAAATAAATAATGTGTACTCATAAGCAGTGTAATTTCTTCATAGTTTATTCGATCTTGTTCATAGGGAAATTCATATCCATCCCGTCGCTTTATTATGGATGGAAGGAAAAAAATATTCAAACTCAAATGAAACAATTTTAATGCTATACAAAAAACTAATGAACACCTGAGATTATTAATGACCAATGAGATCTCTGTGTGGGCGGATCTGTCAGCCGCGACAGAAATAGGAACCGTTTCTAAATTAGAAACTTCGCGTGTCGCCGTCGCGTCTGGTTAGGACAAAAACTCTGGTTAACATGGAAAAGATACCTTTATCGCGTGTCGCGGCGCGTGTAGTTAGGACACGGTGTAATGCTGGTTGTGTTGCCTGTATTCAAGATGCTTGATGAATAATTATATGCTATTTCTCATCTGTACAAGTTTGAAGGAATAATTCACCCACAAAATTTAAATTCTGTTTGACTTTCTTTCTTCTGTTGAACATAAAATAAAATAATTTTAGAAATGTCTAAGAGGTTTTGCGTCTATACAATGAAGTCAATGGGCTCCAATGTTGTTTCCAACATTCTTCAAAATATCTTTTTTTTTTTTTGTTCAGGAGAAGAAAGAAAAGCATACAAGTTTTGAACGGAATTTTCATTTTTGGGTGGACTATCCCTTTAAGATGTGAGTTATACATGTTTGCTCTCCTCTCATCCACCTGTTTTTTTGTCCTCCCTCTGAGATCTCTGTCTTCTCTCTCTCTCTCTCTCTCCACTGAATCAACGGCACTTGCAGGACCGGACCACCATGTTGGAGAGCTGTTCCACACGGGGCGTTCGGCCTAGGAAATAAACGATGGTGAGGGGCTCCAGGTCCTGGGGAACACAACACGGAGATGCTGATGCTTCTGGATTCATTTTATTATACAGCGGGAGAATCTGAAAGGAAGACAGACAGAGAAACACTGTAAATAGACACCGAAAGCAACATCGAAATGCAACGTTTCAGAACTTAATCTGTCCAACATCCAAGTGCACAAGTTTGTTTGTAAGTAACCTGTTTGGCATTTACCTATAATCTTTGAAATGGCACTTCTGATCCTTTTAAAATGAAACCCTTGGCTTAACTGTCTGTTTTTTTTCTTTAATATTTACCATGTTGTAGTGGTTGTCTGCGCTCCATAAGTAAGGACAGTTCCCCGCACAGAAATTTGCTTTGTAGCCTTTGGGTTCGTGGATCCACTTCCAGTTCAAGTCCCGGCGGAAATCAATATACAGAGACCTCAGACAGCAGCCCTGATCAGGCCTGGAGGAGGTAGAAGGATTGGTTGCAGTGCATTACGGTGTGTTAAAAGAGCAGTTTACCTAAAAAGGAAGATTTGGTCATCATTTACACTCACACTCATGTCATTCCAAACATACATGACTTTATTCCTAATGAAGAACTAATTGAATAATGCTCTGGTCGCTGTTTTTTCTACAAATACAACGAATGGGCAGAAGAACGCAAAAGCACCATAAAAGTAGACCTCGTGAGTTTTGTGCTATATTCCAAGTCTTCCGAAGTCTTGCAATAGCTTTATGTGTAAGCAACAGACTAACATTTAAAGGTGCCCTAGAATGGGGTTATTTTATTCTTTTATAATGTTTCCTGGGTTGCCCTTATAATGTTAGTATCATTTTTAGATCAAAAATAATCATAATTTAGAAATAAAAGGCATTTTTCCTAGCCTGCTTTTAGCCTCTGATTTGAACGCTCTGTTTGAAGGGGCGTGTCTGCTGTGGGATTCAGTGGAACCGCCCACTGCTGTGATTGGCTGACATGCTTGCATATGAAATAGCTAGTACGTATTACATGTGAAACTCTCTCGAATACTTTTACTACCGCTATTATACGTTTTTACTATTACAGCTATCGAGATTAACGAATCGTGAGATGTTTTTAAAGTATTTAGATCTATTCCCATCACATAAAATGTTTCCGTGATGAGCATTGAGCAGATGACAGTCTGTTGATCGCGAGAATAAAGATCTTATCTTTGCAACGCAGTTTCTGCACTCTCTAATGCTTTCACCAATGCAAACACGATGATGTACATACAGTAAGAGCTTCGTTGTGCAGTGTAACGTGTGTCATTGATTTCATAACGAGTTGTCCAGATAAACTCGATCGCGCTGTGTGGAAAGATTGTTCTTTGATCCCTTTCAGTATATAATTTATTCACAATATAAATAAGGTTTTTTTCATCCTCTAAAAGAAACGATGTGAAGTTGATATTTTAGTCACTGGCTTGACTTACTGATGCATAAAGCCCCGTTCACACTACAAGCGACAAAGCGACACGATACCATTCATTTCAATGGGGAGCTGGCGATTTCCGGCGACACGCGCGACAGCGACCGTTGGCGACCGGATGGGGCGTGTCTGGCGACGCGACAAAGTTGAGATCTGTTTAACTTTATGCAAATGCAGAGCGACTTTCGGGAGCGACAACCAATAGGAGCGGAGCGCGTATGATCCTTCTCCCCATCATTGGATGTCATTCATAAAGGCAACCAGTAGTGCGAACTCCCACTAGCGACCTCATCGCCAGCCACTGGCGACATGCAGCGACAAAGTCGCTTGTAGTGTGAACGGGGCTTAAACAGTATTGAACGATTTTGAGAGAAAGATTACCTGTCTGAACTTGAACAATTAGGCTAACTTACACATCAGAAATTGTTGCTTGGTAGCTCGATCGATTTATTTTCAGACGTTCATCGAGGCCAGCTCTGTATTGGCCCAAGTTGAGGAAACAGTCGTCGGTGATATATTTGGACCATACAAAACTTTGGGAAGTTGTGTCGGCGCATTTCCAGAGAAAATACAATTAAGCCATTGTTTCTTCAGAGGGTCGAATGAAGGAACTAAAGAATACTTTTGTGTTCATGTGTACATCCGAACACTGAGCAACTGCCATGCTTCGGCTGCGCAGTTCCGCCTGGCATTGAACATGGGCTGGCATATGCAAATGTTTGGAGGCGTACATATTAATGATCCCGACTGTTGCGTCACAGTCGGTGTTATGTGGAGATTCGCCTATTTTTCAGGGGTGTTTTTCAAAAACGAGATTTAAATAAGGAGGAGAAAACAATGGTGTTTGAGACTCACTGTATGTCATGTCCATGTACTGAACACTTGTTATTTAACTATGCCAAAATAAATTCAATTTCACATTCTAGGGCACCTTTAAGTCGCTATTCAGACGCTCTAGCTTCCCGTGGCAAGTGAACAACTGAACAAAGCGTGCAGGAAATTCTTTTTTTTTTTTTTTTAAATCACATTTTGTGCTCTGTAGAATAAAGAGTAAATGATGACTGAATTTTCCCGTTTGAGTGAACCATCCCTTTTAATAGATGCTGTCCAAGTTTCATGTCTACTTGACTGACTCCTGCAGCAAACTCTGATTGGACATAAATGTGGCTCTAATGACCATTTCTATGTTGCTTAGCACAGAGGAAGCACTCCACATAACAAACACTCATTAAAAGAGTATTTACTTCCAGAACAGACGAGATGAATTCTGCATATCAGACGAGACACTCCCTGGGCGAGTCACTGCATGCGTTCTGTGGGTGTGTGATGCAGTAGAATTTATTTTACATGCACACACATTAGGATCGATCTCATCTGGCTCTATGTGTCTCTTACTGTTTTTTTTTGCATTAACTGGGAACTTTTGAGCTCCTAGCCATCTATCAAAGGTTTATGCTCACCAAATACTGAATATTAAGCTTAATACTGAAATCCTTCAAGGCCATTATACTTTTTTTTTTTTTGCATCTGTTTTTATATCAAACTCCGTTTTGAGTGGCACAAGTTAGCTTTTCTAATATGCGATGGTAAGGAAGTTCACTATAGAAGCTTGTTTACGCCATGGAATAAAAAAAATACATAAAAAAGGTAATTGGAACTTTCAGAATTGTGAGAAACTTATAATTGTAAGAAAAAAGTCAGAATTGTGAGCTCAGTTTATATCTATGGAAGCTTGTTTCCGCCACTGAATAAAAAATAAAAAAGGTAATTGTGACTTTTTATCTCCTAATTGTGAATATTTTTCTCAGAATTCCATGATATAAACTCGCAGTTACGAGTTACAAAGTCGGAATTGTGTGATGTAATTCAGAGAAAAAAAGTCTATATCTATAAAAGAAAGTTTATATCTCGCAATTCTGACAGTAACTCTCAATTGTGATAAAAAAAAGTCAGAATTGTAAGATAAAAAGTCGTAATTTTAATTTTTTTTAATTTTGTGGCGGAAACCAGCTTCCATATATATCTCACAATTCATACTTTAAATCTCACTGTACATATTTTTTTCCTTGCAATTACGAGTTTATATTTTACAATTTTGAGAAAAAAAAAGATAAAAAGTTGCAATTACCTTTTTTTTTCAGTGGTGTTTTTTTCCATACAGTTCAGTGATCGTTATACAAAATATGTGATTATAATCAGAGTGAAGTATTCTATAGAGAGTAATAATAAATAACATCTTCAAACACACACACAGCTATGGTGAAGTCCTGTTTATATCCACGAACTACCAGAATATCTGTCTGTCTCTCCATTTTACTTTTCCATACTCCGCTTCAGGAAAAGGCAAACAAAGACTCAATCAGCAATGCCAAAGATCTCAATTGAAGTATTTGATTTGAAGTTGATTTGGTTCTGGAAGAAGAGACATGGTGCCCCATAAAATGTCTAGACTATCACATTTAGGATCATGGCTTCGTTGCACTACATTTTGTGCTACAGTTTGCATATTTTGCAGAGTAATAATAAACAACATCTTCACACACACAACATCTACACACACACACACACACACACACTCTGTACCGTGTGCATATGGAAGTGTCTGCTGCTGATCTCTTCTTGCGGTTCTTCTTGGTGGGGTTGTCCAGGCGGTCGGTGGGCAGCAAGGTTAGTATCAAATGTGGGGTTTTTGTGCTAAATTCAATCTGTCCTTTAGTCAAACTTGGTCTTCTTTTCTGCTTTATAAGGTCGTCATCAATGCCTGGGAAGGAATCGGTCCAACATGTCATTGTCAATAACAACAAAAGATGATCCTACTGTTTCACTAACGTTTGACAAATAAAAAGTATCCCTTTCCGTCTTCATTTTAAACAAAGTATTTATTGTTTTAAACTTTCTTTGTGATGAAAAAGTGTGCTTGTGCTGTGTTTCTTTCAAATAAATGTTGATTTCTTTCATAATATAATGCAATAATATTCATACTTTTTAACTGTAACTTAAGCATTAATACTATAACTCTGTAATTTGTATAAGACAAATAAATCAAACAAAACGTTTAGATTCAAGAGAAAATGACCTGCAAATCTGGCTTCCAACTCTTCACTCTTGTTAGGGACAATATTGTTTGTGGAGGGGACGAATGTACAGCAGGGACAGTGAACGCTGATCTTGAGCCCAAGATTTCTCTCTGAGAGAGAAAAAGAGATGATTTTTCCTAGAGAAGGAAATGCTTCAACAAGAAGTAAATATATGCTGAAACTTCTGGATGAACTCACTGACCTCTGAACGCCATCCACTCCTTCACAGTCTCCGTGACATCGACAGAAAGCCATGCCCCCTTGGCATGAGGCTCTACTGTTCTGGAGTCGATGTACCTCTGGGACGGGGCCGTCACGTCCTCCGATTTGAGAATCTGTGGGTGTGAAGGGAAACAAACCACAAGCTTATTTGACTTACCCATTCATTCATCTGCTGTTCTATATCTTGCACTGCACAGCATGAAAACACATCATGCAACTGTGATGAAAGAAACCCTTGCAGATGCAGTCGCTCCAGTACAGACTCACTGCTCATCTTTGGAACAACTCAAGGCTTTTGTCTGGAAAAACCACATTACCTGGTATATTTCCACACGCTGCTCAGTGGTGCGAGCCTTTGGGTTTGGAGCTCTGAAGATGCGAAATTCTGCTTTGACCAAAGTACTGGAATTTCGCTCCACGTTGGTGACGTCGAAGCCCACTATCCTGAAGTACGGGCTCTGAGGAACCGGGTTGATTGAGTCTGTGGAACAAAAGCAGGATTCACTTTGGCCTTGTTTACACTTTGTGGTCTGAGCGTGGTTTTCAGAGGGTCAACCTCAAGGAAATAAACCTTGCTTTAGTGCCAAAACAGCAGATGACTAACCCCTTTCAGCCTCTCAGAGGCCTCGTTGAACTTCAGCTGACTTATTATTAGCAACAAAGCTGTATATTATAGGTACACTATTTGATAGCTGTTAGATTTAGCACATTTTACTCCCAAATGATCAGTAATGTGCTTAGTGTCTTTTTATAACTCCCATTAATTTTAATGGTGTTTCTCCTCAGATAATCATTTCTGTAAGACAGCAATATGTGCCTATTATTTTTTTTAAATGTTGCATTACAGTTGTATTTTTACTGTTATATAAACAATAAATAACTAGAGACAAACCGATAATCTGTTTGATTAATATTTTATAGAGATATTCAGTTTCTTTTTCATGGTACACAATTTACAAAAGGTATTCACAAGAAAAATAGCTTAATGTATTCAAACAAGCACAAAAATAAGTTTGTGACCATTTAGATTGCAAAACAAATTTGCATAAATATAATAACGGCATAATAAATACTGTTGCTATTTAATGATCATGTAGTTAGAAAAAAATTAAAAAAGAACAACAACCCAGAAATGAACAAAAGCTGAAAATCGGTTCTGCATATCGGTTATTGGACATAAAAATAATGTGTATCATATTTGTCATAAAAAGGGTGTATGTGTATGTATCTAACTATCTATCTATATTGTAATATTATTACTATTTATATGAGTATTGACATGAAAATAATAAAAAATATGTATTGAAATATTATTATTTTCTTACTTTTGCTTTGGGGTGAAAAATAACCTAGGAATGTCCTTTGACAATGTTTCATGACATGTTCAGTCAATCTAATGAATGATCTTCTTTAAACACTTTTTTCAAACACAACCAAATCGAATGGCCAAACTAAATGATGCACTAGAATGACGGTTTAACTACACATCCAGAACCCAATGCATTTTTAAATGGTGCATTAATGCGCCATCTCAGATAAAACGCGTATCACTCACTGGTATCTGTGCGCAGTGGCATCATATTGACCCGCTGCACCTCTTTGGCGTAATAGTCCTCCTCGCTGCTCTCCCGCTCGCACGCGCTTTCGGGCTGGCGCGCGCGCTCCTTCAGCAGCTCCTTCGTGCTGTTGTAAAGTAACATCACCTCCACCGGGACCGATGGTTGCGTGCTGGCTTCGGGGTACGGTGGACTGCGGATGCGTAGCTTGCTCAGAATCTGTCCGCGCACCGCCTCGATCCTTTTGGATTTGTGGTCGTCCAAGTTGTAGGAATGGCACGTGGAGAATCCTTCCGCAGACACTGACAGTTTGAGAACGAGCAAAGTTAGATTGATGAACCACATGGTTGATTGACAGATGAGAGGGTCGGAAGCGCTCCTCTATAACGCCCGGTCACTGGATGTCCTCGGGGAGCGCGCGCACTGAGCGCGTCTCTTGCAATGGGACAAACCCAAAGTGCGTAGGCTGCGCTGCTCGCGCTCTGTGTTGTTCACCAGGTGAATGAGCTCCTCTGCTGACAGATACGAGCTTTTACCTCCTCATACACTGCCTGACATATAATTTGTGTACTCGTATAATCTATTTCTGGTCAAAATCAAGAAAGAAGATTGCGCAGAGGACACTAGCTGAGTTCACTGTGTGAATTTAAAGCAATTTCAAGGAGATCAGTTTTATCTTAAAGGTATTTTTTTTTTCGAGCCTATAAGGTACGTCTTACGTAGGCTAACTAAAACTATTAAACAAATGTCTTAAACAAAATTCAGTGTTTTTAGATCTGTAATCTACATGTAAATAAAAAAATTAAAATACAATAAAGTGGAACAAGCACCTATGTGTTGTAGCTATACCAAAATTGGAAAAACTACAAGCAACTTGGATGTTTAAGTAATTTCAACTTAAATGACATTAAACCGACTTAAAAAATTGAGTTGAATCTTGTTTAACATAGTTGAAAATTGCTTGTTTTGATGAGTTAAAGCAATGCAAAAACATGTTGTCATAAATAATTGATCATATGCATTTTTTTTACAGTGTATAACCTTCTCAGGTGGCAATTTCTGTTTGTGAGGGTCTTTTTGGACGTTACAGCTAGGCTTTGTGAACACTTAAATGTTCAAGAAGCCTTTTTTTTCTGAAAACGTGTTAAATTTAAACAGTTTGGTAGGGCTGTAAGTACTTTTTAAGACCCCCAATTGTTTGTTTTGATTTTTTTATGGTTCAAACCCTCCCAAAAACCCAAGAGCTACCTCAGGTAAAGCATGTGAAATATTGGCCTGATATCTGTGCATGTTGTAATGACAAGCATACTACATTTGTCCATTATCACAGACCATCCCAATTATATTAGTCTCTATGGAGTCTATAAACACAGCCTTTCCATCACGCTTCCCAGGATTTTAAGTATTTACCGGTAAGGTAATAAACAGTACAGTTCCTCATGCTCGTCTGGTATCCAATGATTCAGAGAGAAACTCCAAGTGCTGTTTTGAATTCTTGTGGTTTGTCTTGGAGCTTTAGCGAGGACCGCTAGTATTTCTTTTAAAGTGACTCTCCAGCTCCTTTCCCATGATAACTATAAGAGATCAGGTCAGATTTTATTTCTCTTTTCTCACAGCCTCGAGTCAAGATGCAGATCTGCCATCCAAATGTTCAATCAAGACCTTGAAGTTGCTTTTGGAAAATGAAATTATCCCCATGACAAAGACTGCCTGTCTCCAGCAGCATAAAGTTGAACTGGATTTAATATAAACAAAATGAGCAAAAGCTAGTATAGGTATGGCCTACCAGAATACATCTTTTGCGAAGAATAATCCGTTTCAAAGGAGAGAGGGGGAGAAAACGACAAGACCATCAACAAAAACGTCAGAAGTCAAAGAGAGTCTTTGAAGGTGTGAACTTAACTACCCGGCTATAATTAAAACACAACCCTCTTTGGGTTTCAGAGCTACCAAAAACATCTCTTCAACAAAACAAGTCCCTAAAGTTTTCTGAAGTCTTCAGAGGAAGAAAAAACAGAGCAGCTGTGTGTGGGAGGGAGAGAGAGAGAGAGAGAGAGAGAGAGAGAGAGAGAGAGAGAGAGAGAGAGAGAGAGAGAGAGAGAACTACAAGGGTGAATGACAAAATAAGATGTCCGAGATGATAAAAAGGAGAAATCTAGTTAATCCTTATTACACATAATAATACAGAGTTGAACACCCTGTAACACCCTTGATGTTCCTGGTCAAAAATGACCGGCCTTTTTAAAAAAGTGCTTGTAAATCCCTTGTAATGCTATATTAACACCAAATATTGGATTCAATCTTTTTGTCAACTTGTTTTCTTTCAAGTAGGACAGGTTTCATATTTCTTTTTGGAAACGATTGATTAGGCTTATGGATCTGAGCTTATGCATCTCAGTTTTTGAGTGAAAAAGCATTATTTGTGGTCAATATTGCAAAAAGTTGCACTGTTTATCACACTAGTGTGCTTTAATGTTTAACCAGGAAGTTTGTTTTGAAATGCTTTTATTTAGTACAAAATGGAACAAAGTCACACTTGTGGTTTTCCAGTTCAAAAATGACCGGTCTACAAAAAGAATTTCTTGTGAATCTCTCGTTATGCTATATTATAACCAAATATTGGATTCAATCTTTTTGTCAAATTGTTTTCTTTCAATTAGGACAAGTTTCGTATTTCTTTTTGGAAATGATTGATTAGGCCTCACTGACTAACAAGTGTAACAAGGTGAAAAATAAGTACAAAAATGAAGCAAAAGAATTTGGGAAATAGTTATACCCTGTGTGAGCTAAGGCTGTAGGGTTTAGTCCAATGCGATAACATTAACTAACACTTTTGAGGAAAAGAACCTCCTCTCCGGGTCAAAATGACCCGAACACAACATAAGGTTAAATGCCTCTTAGAAACATAACAAACCATTTGATTAACAACTCAAGCCAACTGGTGTAAACACTGAGTAAAGGTTCTAACACTCTTTGCACAATGAATACATTTGAGGTGTACACAACTTTAACAAATTTTAAGTTAAATATTATTTTATTATCTTTTTGAGACATGAATTATTAGTTTTGTTAGGATTGCTCTGTTTCACCTTGAAATAAATGACTTATTATTTTTTTTAAAGGACAAGATATGTTCAATATTGTGTAAGAAATAATAATGAAATATTCCAAACTTATAAACAATTTCTTTTTCAAGAATTTTATCGAGACTTTATTTTAAAGGGGTCATATAATGGTACATGCACTTTTTCAAGTTGATTGTACTGAAATGTGTGTTGGCAGTGTCTGTGCACAAACATCATAAAATGATAAAAATCCATCCAGTGGTTTTGTTTTAATCTCCTTATATGTTTTCCCCTGCCTCAAATCGAGCCGTTCGACCGTGTGACGTCACACGCTCGGAAGCCCCTCCCGCGATTGTTGATTGACAGGCGCGTTTCAACACAGACCCTCCCTCGCTCATGAGCGAGCTGTCAATCATAGTCTGCGCGGACCGGCGCGGTCATTGTTGATATGCTGGAGCACTGTCTATGAGCAGAATGGCGTCTAAGCGATTGTGGTGTTCTGTTCTTGGGTGTAATAACGAACACAGTCATTTTAATGTTCCTAAATCCGGAAGACGCAGACGCAGTGGCTGAGTTTGTTTTCGAAGGGAATATTCCCCACGAGCAACGTCAATGCTTTCATGTTTGCGCGAATCATTTCACACACCAGACTGCTTTATAAACGAGGATCAGTATAAAGCTGGATTTGCTAAGCAGCTGCTCCTGAATAAAGAATCGGTACCAGCTATTCGTGTTCCTGCTGAATCTCCAGAACAACTGAAGTGAGTGTAACGTTTTATTAAACTTTATATTAATATTTATATCTTTGCAAATCGCTTCACGATGAATGAGTCTAAGGTTTACACTCAGGGTACATTACTGCATGTTTTATATGTACGACGTTCTCCATATAATTCATAATCCCACGTTTATAATGAACAACACGTTATGGTATTGTGTTACAAACGCGTACACAGAACAGAGAGGCGGAGTCAGCAAAGCTCATGATCATTTAAAGTCATATGCACTGAAACGACGTGCTGAAAACAGAGCTGTTTTTGACCAGGTAAAATAAGTGTTTTCTTACAATACTAATGAGAATTTTTAATTAAAGTATATTACAAACTTTTAATTTAGACCCTAAAGAATCATATTAGCTTGTACAAAAATGGCATTATATGACCCCTTTAACTATCAACACAAAAGTATCCAAATGAACTGATCCAGAAATATAAAACATGTTCTTCATAGAAAAGGTGTTTGTTATTTGTATTTTTTTTGTTTGAACATTTTAGATAACCATGTTAAGTATTATATAAATAATAATAATGTTTGGCAGCGTTGTTATAAAAAGTCACCAACACAAAGCTGCAGAAGTCTAGTTAGCAGTTTTCCAGTGAAAAGTAATGTCAGTATTTCTCACAGACGGCCTTTTCCAGATGCCTTTATTGCATAACAATGGAGACACTTTTTTGGAATCTTTCCTTTCCAAGTGTTTCCAAGCAGCAGTCAGACGTTTAACAAAAATCTTTACAAATAGTCAAATATCCACCACTGCAGGATGAAATTACAGACCAACTGTTTCTTAATTTGTTTACCTTGGAAATAAGACAATGTGCTTTTCTAATCCAATCTTTTCCATCATGCATTTAACAGAGCCATTAAAAAAAAAAAGAACCTCTGGGCACATTTAAAATAGATTTACTGGATATTAATTTCACCTTCTATTTTGTTTCCTGGAGAGAAATGATAGATATCCAAGGCCTCAATCTAAGCTTTCACATCCTTTCATTTTAGGTACACCCTTCCTTACTTCACTTCCACTCCCTATCTTTCTTCTCATTTTTAATTACAGTTCACCAGCTACATGATCGTTAATCTGTCAAAAACAGCTTTGTAGCTGCTCTCTCCACCTCTCCATTATGACTTTATTATAGTTTGGCCAAGAGGGCTGTAATTGAACTTCAAGTGAAGGCAGAAGGTACAAGCCTTGAGAAACGACATTAGAAACCCCAGGAAAAAGACACCAGAGGGCTGGAATTTTTCATCATTCCAGCTATTTTCTTGTTCAAACATGAATTCAACGTTTGATATCTGATACTGAATCTGAGGAAACGTGGAATAACCTGACGTGGATGCGGAGTGTCGAGCGCCACCAGGCGGCCGCGGGGGATGAAAGGCCGCTCTGGTGGTTAGTTGCGGTATTGCAATATAAGATTTAAAAATAGAGACCTCGAAAACAGCTTATGCTGTTTCTTTCCTTCAACCTCCCTTAAACTAAATATAGTCCCTGCCTTGCCACGTCATCTTGCTCTCACAGAGCTTTCTGTGCGATATGAAAGTCTTTGGCACAGTTTGATCCAAGAAACTGCTACAGCTGACACAGATAATCTCAAGCAAGAGCAGAGTTGATAAAACTCAGTTTCATTAGCAGTTATTCCATGGTACAGAATAATATAAGTATAATAATAATAGTATTGTCATGTTAAAAAAACTGGTAATTTTTATGACACTGATTAATTGTGAATATAAAACATAAGGGATATATAAAAACCTCACAATTTAGAGACAAATCAGAATTATTTCATCTCAATTTCCATAACTTGAAAAGACAAGCAAATATTATAATAAAATGTTTAAACTTGAATTATCTCTCTCTCCATCTATATATATATATATATATATATATATATAATAGAATAATAAAGATAAAGATTATTATTATTATTATGAGGTCGCACCAACAGGTAATAGAAGATGATTTGTACATTCAATTAAGTGCAAAATTAAGAGTTAAGAGTAAATTAATACAAATTTATTTTATATTTTACAAAGCACAAACAATGACAGAAACAACACAATGTAAATTCTCATAACCAAATTCAATGAGAAAGTAGTTGAACATGTCTGTGTAAGTCAGAATAACTAGTGAATTACGGTATGGTGTTTTTCTCCCTCCTCCTCCTCTGAAGAAGAAGAAAACGGCACCCCAGATATCTAAAAGAAACATTTGGCTCCAATAAACAGTCTAGATCTTCTCTTGTGGGATGGGTGCAGCAGCTCGATCTACTCGCCTTCATCGAGTAACATGTTGGGAACCCCTTTGGAGATGGGGAACTCTCTGCCAGATTCAGGACACTGTAAACATCCCTCTATAACCTCAACCTGCGAGGAGAGAACGCTGCTATTAGCACTAAATCACTTCAACAAAGTTCATTTAATCAAATATTTCATATTTATGTGAAAATGACAATGATTTTTTTTTGTGTGCCAATGAAGCCTTTTGCAATTATTTAAAATGCATCTGGTCACTCGGCACACAACTGAACAACTGAAGCAGCAAACTTTGTGAATTATTGGCCATGACAATATAACACTATACTTTGTTTACTTACCTTGACATTAAAGGTACAATATGTAGGATTTTTGCAGTAAAATATCCAAAAACCACTAGGCCAATGTTATATATTTTGTTTAGTTGATTACTTACAATATCCCAAATGTTTCCAACTATTTGTAAATCGTGAGAAAATTGCGATTTTAACCAAGGAAACGGGGCGTGTGAGCAGGGGTGAGGAGTCGCCAGTCAATGGCGTCATATCCGCGTTACCCTCGGTTTCCGCTCGTACTGCCATAGTAACCATGGCAACAGACGTGGACAACTGGGTTCTGCTTAGCAGGACGCTCACGCTGTTGTTGTTTTGTTTAAACATTATGGACCATGGCAAGCAGACTTTGAGACAAAAAGAGGACTAAAACGAAGATAACCTCTTTCGAGATGCCGAGAGCTCCATGTCCGCGACTAACTTCGACTTGACAGAGTGTTGTACTTTATTAGACAGGTGAGCAAATGTACATAAACCTAATCAATGTTATTTAGTTCAACATGATAAAATGTTAGAATATGATCTGTATGTTATTCTAATGTTGATCTAGCTTACTGCTAGTTTCATGCAGCCATCAAACAACCTAACTAACAACATTCAACACACTCAAATGCCGTTAAGTGTGATAGTGTAACTGTTAGAGCAAGTGAAACAGCGCTGCGTTACCTCAAGTTTAATTCGTCTAATAAACTTACCTGTGTGAGTAGTAATAATTCAGCACTTGCATGTAGTTCGGTAGAATTAAATGTCCTTATTCCTTTATACTCGCGTGTGGCGCTGATATCTGTCTCTCATTAGCAATCGCGTCCTGCTTCATCCCAGTCATGTTAAAAACATCAATGTATTCACTCATCCATAAAAGATCCATCAGCTTGAGGACAAGATCCATAATTCCGCTTAATGCTTTACCGTCATCAATATATGCCTTTGTTATTGTAAGAGGTTAGCGACCCCTGGTGGCAAAAAATCCTACATATTGTACCTTTAACCTTTCTGAAAACTAGTTAACACTGCTGCATGATTGTTTCTAATTCGACGATGGAGTGACTCAAAATTGCTATTTTTATTTTTTCTGACCAGCAGAATCAATTTCTTGACATTTTTTTTCTTTTGCTATTGGGGCAAATGGAAATGGCCAAATTGTATTTGTTGTAGTTTCCCGAACTATGAGAATTTACGAGCTTTTGAGAACCTCAGAAATGTGAAAATGATCCATAGGAAACTACATTAAGATATGTATGACTCTCTATGAGTGTAATAAATTAGGTTCTTTCAAAAAGGCTGTTCATCTGATGGGTCTCACCTCTAGAAGAATTCTGTGAACTTTGCGCAGAAAATCCTCATCATTTTCATAGTTTGGTATGAGTGTGCTGGGCAGGTCCTGAGATTGTCCCAGCTGTTAAAAACACCCATCAGCTTAATGGTGCAATGGGACACATGCACAGACAAAAACCTCATGCTTTCTAAACAGCACTTACCGTAAAGTTGTGAAAAATTCACCCTTAATGAATTATAATTAAAATTGTATAAAGCGCAGCATCATCACTCACCCATTCTGCTGCCTGGATCAAGGCGCTCCACTCCAGCTTAGGGATCATCCGGCTCACAAACTGAGCATTGAACTCCAACTCGTTCACTTTCACTTCTGTTGCCTTCATTCATGAGCCAAGACAGAACAACAAGACAAAGATATGTCATGAACTCAACCATATATATACATTTTTATTTTGATTAATTTATTTATTTTTAACACAAAGAGGGCTTTTGGTTGTAGGCCATGTTTATCAGTGTGAAATATCTTTATTTGGGCAGTTGACATTTCGATCAGTGACAGTAGTGCGGCATGCTCTAAAACTATTGTAAAAAATGTTTTATCCATTTGATTAATTTCTGCATTTAAAAAGTTGTTACGAGCTCATAGTAATTCAGAGATCTCATGTAATATGTTTGTCATTGCAGGACTACTTCAAAAAAGCGATTCACTTATTAGACCTACAATCTTTTTTTTTTTAAAGTTACATTGACATGTAGCTAAATGTAGCTTCTCTTTAACTTTGATTTCTGAGTCCACAGAAAAAGCATTTAAGTGCTATTAAATTACTACTGCATGTTGTATTAATGTGTATATGCCTATCTGATAAATAACCAGTAAACAAAAACAATGTACGTCAATCTCACCTTGATAACAAGTGGATATCCTTTAACCACGCCTTTCACGTGCGACGTTAACATGTTATGCGTTAACAGCTTCATTTCGGCGGAATGTGGCGATATATTTCAGGACCAAAGCACGAAAGTTTGTTGATTAAAGAAGCGTTGAATTACAAACATAAGCATAACAACCACATGCGTTTTTCGCGACGACTGTGTGCAACCCCTAAAACAAACTCCCCGAGAAACAAAGTGCGGTGTATTTGGTTCCGCGTGTGGTGTGATTTCAGGGCTGACTAGATTTTTATTTATTTTTTTAAACATGTTTTACGTTGAATAGAAATCGGTAATAATATGACTATATATTAGTGACTGAGTTGTTGAGTTTTAAAGCACAGAATTACACAAACGCGTTTCTCTGGTGGTTCTGAATAATGATTCCAAACTTCTTGTTCAAAACTGTTAAATGTTCACAATGTTTGTGAATTCTGTCCTTCTAAATAAAATTCAAAATCATTTTTTGTAATAGCTGTTGGGTAACAAGTAAACACAATAAACCTACACTAGCATACTTTCAGGCAAGAATAAACATAATTATGAAGGCAGACTGTCAGACATTGTATAACAAGTTTGATTATGAATTGTGTTTTATAACAGTTTTATGGCATTTTTAATAATGGGATATTTAGTGGCAGACTCCAAATAAGACATTTTACTCCATTTTTATTTATTTACTGTGAGCCATACATGTAAAACTATAAAATGTTTAAAAATATTGATTTAATTACATTTTTAAATGGAAATCTGCCCTATCAAGCTATATGAAATGATTTTTTAATCCCATTTTTTCCTCTGTGTTTACAACAGTCAATTACAATATTTTTCAAATGCACATTTTTATTCCTTTTTTTGTATTAATTTGTTTACACATTGTCTTGGTACTATACAGGTAATTCTTACAGCGTATGATATAGTTGTAATTACAGAAGAAACTCACTGATAGCTATGAATCACATAGCCGGCCAGTCAACCATCAATACACAAACATGCACACTCACTCAAACACACACTGTTTAGACACACATAAAAACACACGGCAAAAACTCACTTCCCTTACACAGTTATGCCATTAACAAAAAACAAATAAGTGAATGTAACATTACCCACAAGCCCTTTGTCAACTGACCAACTGCCCACCGCTTTTTCATGCATATCAAGTACATCAAATGCTCAACATCATCAATTTTTACATTTCATTAGCCATTATCACAAATATGAAATAAAATATTTAAAACATGTAGGAAGGCAACTAATGAGATGAAAGCAATTGAGAGGTAAAAGGCTGAATCTGTCAAGAGCACATCTGGGCATATTTCACCACAAAAAATAAAGGAAAGAAAATTCTATTTTAGAAAATAAAGTTTGCATTGTGATATTATTTTATTGACAATTTAGCACATTTCTCTCTACAATTCTCATTATTGGCATGAAAAAGTGGTGTGAAAAAATAATGACATATTAAGTATTTATATATAATGAGGGTGTGTGTTGTACTGCCTTTATGCTGATTTAAATACAGAAATGAAAATCAAAAATTGAAAATGAGAATCAGGAGAATTAAATGAACAATAGATGCAAATTGCCAAGAAAATAATGTAACGATGTAAGAAATTCTAAAACAGGCTAATTTTCTTTATGTAAAATCGAATTACCAAATAAATGACATATGTTTTTATTTTGAGGTGAAATATGACCTGGGCTTTGTTTCCCAAAAGCATCATAAGCATAAGTAGATTGTGGAAGCAATTTCACTCACAATGCTTTTGAGAAACCCAGCTCTGGACATTTTGCAAGATTCACCAAGAAAAAAGACAAGACAACAATTCTTCATCACATTCTGAAAGAATGAATAGAAAACAAGAGTGATCATTCCTGTACAGAGACTCTCGTACTGATTGCACCACTCAAATAATCAATGCATTAGATTAGGCTTTAAGAAAGAGTTAAACAGGACAGTTTAAAATAAGATCTTTATAATGTCAATGCAGTGTAATTATGGCACAAAGACATCAATATAGAGGACTAGAAGTGGACAAGAAGAGTCACTTTCCTAGTGTTAAGTGAAAAGTATGGTAAGGCCACCTCAATGTATTTAATGAGCCTTTCACCTTACCTAAATGAGAAATTCAACATTATGTTTGTAATACTTCAGAGGAAGAATATCAATTCAATCAGATGTTAAATGCGTATTTCAGAGAGGGGAAACATCCGGTCTTGAGCTCACAGGTAAAGTTACAGACTGATATGATTGCATACGTTTCAATACGACAAGATGAGACTGAGCTGCACTTGGCCATCTAGAGCGCTCGATTCTAGCAAAAGTGCAAGTGGAAAACATTTGCATTGCATGAAACAAAGTGTGCAACTATGTGGAAGCCACTTAAAAATGGTTCAATTATACATTTTTTTCTCCTTTGTTTTTGCATTGATACTCACAGATGAACTCACAATCTCACTCTCACATTCATACTAACAAAAATCAGACTCCAATAACGCCCGTCAATCTCATTCTTGGCCAACTTCGGTGCGCCATTTTAAGAAGTCCTCTTTCCGCGCATCTGGTTTAATTTGGTTCCGCATTCCTCCCAGTAGGTTTGAAGTGGCCTCGGAGGCAACTATAAGTGGACGGACCACAGTGGGCGGGATCTGGCGCAAAACCCCGCCCACTGCTCCAGGAAGACCTTTCTGCTCATGTCCACGAGACGCAACATCACATAGAGTCTGAGCGGTGTCAATCACACCCTGGGAAAGCAAAGACGGCAATGTCAATTTGAATAAGATGAGTTGAATTAGCCAAAAACACTTTATATTATACATTTATTAAATGTAATAGTCTCAGAGATGCACATGTTTGTAATGATATAATGACGCACCTCTCTGACAGTGTCATAGGCCTTGGCCACACCCTCTCTGAGGTCAGCTGGTTGAGGGGTGCGTCTGGGACGGGGAGTGGGGCGTCCCTCAGTGATGTAACGTGTCAGAGGTGGGGTTGGAGATAAGATGTCGTACACTGTCTCAGCGGTGGCCTAGAAATACACAGGGAAAAGGCTTCTTATTACATTAGGTTAATATTATTATGGTTTTTTTTTATATGTGGTGCGATGGATAAATATTAAATAAAAAATATCTAGCAACAAGGTAAACAGCAAAAAAAAAGGATGAATATAAATATATAAAAAATATATAATAAATATAACTATAAAAATGTAACAAAACAAAATAAATTATACATTCAAAATGATCCATATAAATATAGATTTAGTAAAATATTTAGTAACATGGTAAACCAGCAACAAATATAATAATGAACATAAAAAATACAATTATGTAATATAATAAATATAATTATAAAAGTTTTACACAAATAAAAACATAAATGATATACAAATGATACATACAAATATAATAAATAATTTAATTTAACTAAAAAAAAATCTATAAAGAAAAAACAAATTCAGCGTATCTAGTAACATGGTAAATATGATATACAAATGATGCACATAAATATAATACAAAAATAAATAAATGTAATTTTGAAAAATCTTTCAAATAATAAACAATAAAAATATCAAATAAAAAATATCTAGTAACATGGAAAACAAGCAAGTAATATTATAAAATATACATAATTAAAATATAATTAATTGTAATTTAAAATATAAAATAAATTACATATAATTAATAAAAATATATAAATATAATATAAATATAATTTTTCAAAAAGAAAAATCTATTAAAATATCTAGTAACATGGTAAACAGACACAACATTAAACTTTCATAAAAAAAAAAATATATATATATATTAGGGATGCACCGAATCCAGGATTCGGATTCGGATTCGGCCGAATATTGGGATTTTTAACGGGGTTCAGTTTCTGCCGAACCTCAGAATTTTTTTCCACCGAACCGAACCCTAGGCTTGCACTACGCGCGCTACGTCGAAGTCACCGATCAGTGAATGACATCAAAGTACCGCGTGAACGAATAGAGAGCAGACGGCTCCTTATGCTTTTGAATTGCTCTCGCGGGACTTTGATGTCATAAACTCATCTGTCTGTGCAGCTCCGGTTCAAGTCGAACAAGCCTGTAGTAGTGTAACGCGTTGTGTCAGGAAGAAAAATAGCTCACAGCTAAAGTTATTGCAGAGGCCAGACAGAGTCACGGAGGCGATTGGCATCTCACAACTCGCACTTTATTCCACAATCGAACTTGTGTAACTGTCTGTCACACGTTCTACCGTCCACAGCGTTACTTAAGAAAATAAGGTAAAAATGAGCATCAAACAGAAATAACCCGCATAGCCTACATGGGCATGTGTTCGAGGCGCACGACACATACGGCGCGCAGTTCTTAAAGGGGCCACACCTTAGTTCGAATGCAGTAGGGTGTGAGAAAGTGAAAATGGAACTCGTGAGCAGAAAAAGTGTTGTTTGGCAGTACTTTCAGTGAAAGAAGGCAATTCAAGTCGAGCTACATGTTCAATTTGCAATGCCGATTTGTCTCATGGTGGCAAGTACTCTAAATAGACTACACAACATCGCCGCTGTTAAAATGCATAATGTTGCTTTTTTTTTTTTTTTTTTTTTTTTTACAGATATAAAAGTAAAAGTAGTGTTTATTATTTACAGTAATAAAATAAAATGAAAAATCCACTTTGTTTACTTCATTAATGTGTTTACTGTGTTAATGGACTGAGGATGAGAGTAGGATTCGGTATTCGGTTTCGGATTCGGCAGAATCTTAACCAGTGGATTCGGTATTCGGCCGAACCCCACAAATCTGGATTCGGTGCATCCCTAATATATATATATATACATGAACAGTAGTTTGGAGTATGATTACCACCAGTGATTATATTTGGGGTAAACAGCAACAACATTCAACATTCATAAAAAAACAAAACAAAATTATATAATATATCTATAAACAGTAGTTTGGAGTATGACTGGTTATATGCGTGTGTATTTACCTGAATTGCCTGCACTAGTCTGTTGCTGAGCTCTAGGGCAGCAGAGGCTGTAGAGGTGCCGAATGATGCCGCCCCCCTCTGGAGGCCTCGGATGATGCGTCCGTCCTTTCGGTACTGCTCAATGGGCATCCAGAACAGATCACGTACACCATGGACTGCAGAGGACAGACAACTTGATTGCATTCAATCTGAATATTTAAGATTAATCTCATGGTCATTAAATTCCAACATCACTGAAAAAAAAAGAAAAAAAAAAGCCAGAGCACTTGAGACGAGACAGTACTGCACAGAAATGAGACACATCGTACTCACAGAGCTGTACAACAGAATGCATGGGACCTACACCTCCCAGAATCCCCGGCAGCTGGTTCTTCCTGATGTCAGTAAGCCACTCATTCACTGCGTACTGAATCACCTTATCAACACCCAGCAGCCTGAGACAAAACAACAACTCACTTTTCAGATCTAGATTAAAATAGTAACGCAGGCAAAAAGTAAAGACGAAGATGTGTTTGTGAATGAAAGCATTTACCCATGTCTACAGCACAATCTCTTCAGCTTCAGTTCAGAGCAGTTCAGCTGGGCCAGACCAATAAGAATGCCTGCAAACGTTCCCTGTGAAACCAGAGATGATATACATTATTATAACAGCAGTCAAACTAAACAAACCACTGATATTTACTCATCTAACACTATTTAACATTACCCAACAACTGCAATAACTGTGAACTGGACTCTGCATTGTTGCAGCACACATAATTATACATTTTTACTGATTGGTAGTGTTTCGCCTCATATGCCCCTTCTTTGTTTATATGTGTCACTTTGGCCCTGTTTTTGGTGCTATTATGGACTTATTATCCAACAATTGCAATAATTGGAACTGGACTTTGCAGCTCTATAAGTGATTCCACTTGATATCCCTTTTTCTTGGTTGTTGTCTGTTGCGGTGCCCTGTAAACAAGCTGTTTTTATTGGTGATCTTTTGCACTTTATGAAAAACCAATGTCGATTGTTTGCTCTGATGTAATTTCGTTGTACTTGCAATGACAAAAAAATAAATAATAATATATATATATATATATTATTCAGAAAAACTGGGCCAGCTAATTTGTTGTTTTAAGGTTCAGCACTCAAACTACACAGATAAACTGGCTTTATGACCACATGAACATAAAGAATCAGTTATTTTATATTGGTGATCACCAACCTGCTCAATAACTACATGCTTTCCTTGATAGTCCAGCCAGATGGGAACTTCAGAGGTAAACCGAAACTCTCTAAAAGAGAAAGAGCGTGAACAGACATTAATTCTGATTTAGACATTTGTTTTGTCATGCAGTTTGACGTCAGATCTTCTACCTGAAGTAGATGGGTTGGTCAGAGGAGGACGAGGAGCCAGCGGAGGAGGAACTCTGCTCACTAAAGGTTGTTTCTACAGATGCAGCGAGATCATGGCCCAATCCAGAGGCAGGATCTGTGTCGTCTGAAGCCTTCTGAGGAGTGTCAGTCCTCACTGGGATCAGATCACAAATAAAGAAAAAATAAAATTACTAAAAAGATAAATGGGTGCAATTAAAATTATGAATTAAAATACATATACATATCAGGGTTTTTATTTAACTAAAACATTTTTTTTTTGTTCACTGAAATAAAAATGTAAATATTAGATGACAAACTTAAACTAAAAGAAAATTAGAAATGTTGCCTTGGCTAACTGAAATAAGTTGAAGCACTAAAAATTAATAACTTAAGCAGACTTGCCCTCAGCTGCAGGGTCGACGGGTAAGTAAGGATTAACTCCTGCAGCCATGCTACTGAAAAAGTCCTTCAAGAAGAAAAGTGCATCCTGGGAAATGAAAACAAATGTGTATGTAGCTTTTACCAATCCTGATATAAAACATTATTTGCTCTATGCTGAATTTTTTTAATATAATGAGTAATGTGTACCTGGTCGATATTGAGACGCAGCGGTAACAGACTGACTCTCAGACAGCACTCCGGGCCGCCCAGACCTGATTCAGGAATCACCTGTAGCGCTTTCACTGTCAACTACAGCAGCGAGTGGGACAGGTGAGAACACAAGCACAAACAGGACCTTATTTTCTTCCTATTCCTCTCTGTAACTCACCATGTTGGAGTGGGCTCTGCGCGGCATGCTCTCACTGGTGTACTGGTACAGGAACTTGTTGATTTGAGAGGAAGCCAGACGGTCTCGCACCTCAAGTTCCTGGACGATAAACACCTGGCGGGAAATAGGCTGCTCCCCGAGGCATGGTCCTTCTGCATCCAGTCCTGCAGCAGGGGGCGTCACCACTGGGTACGTCTCATGCTGGAAACTAACCTGAAGAGAGAGAAAGTAGTTAGAAACAAGGCTTTCTGAATCTTCAAATGCCTTATTTCAGTACAATATACCTTTGTCAGTTGTATTTCCATAAGCAGTGTGTGCTGCCGCCCACTTCCTCCAACCCACCGCCAAGAGTTCTGGGGCCGTGAGGGCACTGCTGAACGAGAGGGAGAACCACGGGCTCCAGAAGCAGCTGAGCGAACCCTGAGAGACACAAACAACCTTGAGGAATTTTCACACCTGGCTCGTTTAGAGCATTTGTTTCGGCGCCTGGCCTCTTAGTTCGGTTCGGCATATATGAACACTACAATCATGCTTGGATCCGCACTAAAACGTTTGGTTCGAGATCGCCTGATCGAGGAGGCCTAATCCTGGCCCGATTGTAAACGAACTCTGGAGCAGTTCGGGGACGAGAAAGCACTAAAAATTCATAATTGGAAATGCGTTACAAAAAAAAGCAGCAGTGTCAGATTCTGTGGGTGAACACATCAGTTATCACAGTTGAGAAACAATGAGCCTCTTCATTTTGAAATGTTGTGTAAATGCTCTTCTCTGAAACAGGTTTTACTCATAAGACTTTCATAAACACATTTTGGTACGCTTTGAAATGCTGCCTTGTGAAAGCGAACCGAACTAAGACGACAATGCAACAATTTAAATCCCTGTTTTGGATAAAAGCTAACAATTAACAGGTCTGAAAATGCTCCATGAAAGGTGCTTTAATGCTGGCACTTTTGGTGAGCACCCAGATCAGAATTTGGATCGTTTGATGATGTGAACACCGTTTTCTGAACTTGTGGGCAAATCCGCGAACCGTACGTGAGTCCGCATAAAAAAGGGTGGTCTGTGGTACGGTTCATGTAAACTCCGGTGTGGTTCGCTGCTGATAATGAACGCAATTGTACTAAATCGTGAACCGCTATTGATGACGTATGATTCGATGAAACTGTGGGTTTGTGTGTGTTCTCACTCACTTTCCTGACAAGCGTGAATGACACACTGCAAGCAGAGAGAATGCATTTCTCATTTGAGCAACACTAGTATGCATTTTGCCGCCTTCTCCTGCATCATCATAACCAAGCAACTGGGGTAAACAGCTGCTGCTTTGATGATGCAAAAGTACCGTGGTTCAAAATCAACCAATCCAGTGAACACAATCCAGCGGGGGCTGAGGGAGGGGAGGAGCAATCGAACACAGGTTCGGACCAGCTAATCAAACCAAGCACCCTAAAATTCTCTCTTCTCGGACCTTCTGCTAGACTTACTTATGGCTGTGTGGTGTATGGGCTGAGCTGGGTTTGCCGCCAAAGTCTTTGCCACCGTACAGGTGCCAGACAACGGACACCTCTCGGAGCACCACTCTGTTCTGAGGCACTGGGAAACGGGCTGGGGCGCGTAGCAGATCTGAACTGCCCCGTGGCCGAGAGTAGTATCCATCCCGCACCTTTATAAGACCCTGGGAGAGCACGGTCACCACAGGCTCACCGTCTCTAGGCTATCAGAGAGATAAGTTATTAACTTATACAAGAGAGAAAAGGACAAGAAAGAAATAAGGTGTAAAAAATTGAATTTTCTACGTTGTAATTAAAAAGTAAATATTATTTCAGTCTTTCTAATAAAAAAAAAAATTTCTACACCAATTTTTTTCAAAGCAACTTAAAAGAAAAATGAGGGTACATACTGGGATGCCCATCCCAGGAGCCTCTAGGATGCAGAAATCATCGTTGTCGGTGGAACCCTCTGAGCCTTCCTCTGACATAATATCTGCATGAGCTTCCAAAGCTGTGGTGACCAGTCCATCAATATCAGACTCCTCCCCTTCTAGAACAGAGGGGCGGAGCTTAGGGGCTTCTCCCGGGAACAGATAGACGGAGACAGGTGAGGCTCGCCGGATGGAAGGAGAACCTGCTGGGCAAATACACAAATTTGAACAACCATTAATCTATACAATTCAAAGGTCAAGAAATTAATATTTGTATTCAGCAAGGATGCATTAAATTGATCAAAAGTGATAGTATAGTCATTTGACATGAAGCAGCACAACTGTTTTCAACATCGATAATAATAAGAAATGTTTCTTGAGCAGAAAATCATCATATTAGAATGGTTTCTGAAGAATCATGTGACATGCTGAAAATTCAGCTTTGCCATAACATGAATAAATTCCATTTAAAAATATATTACAATAGAAAACAGTTTTTTTAAACAGTAATAATACTTTACAATATTGCTGTTTTTACTGTATTTTTTATCATAAAAATTATATTTGATAATATTTCACAACATTGCTGTTTTTACTGTATTTTTTAATCATAAAAACGCTGCCTTGGTGAGCATTAGAAACTTCTTTCATAAACATATTACAGACCACCAACTAGTCTTAATGTATTCAAAAACATAATTTAGTCACAGTGCGACCAGAAACTCCTACAGAGAAAATTAGATGAATACTAGATGACAAACAAACAACAATCATCCTATTATTAACAGAAGTGAAAATATTTGACAATATTTCTGTTTTTACTGTATTTATCATGATAAAAATGCAGCCTTGGTGAGCATTAGAGACTTCTTTCATAAACATATTACCGACCACAAACTCTTAATATTTTCTAAAATGATATATTTTCAAATCTATAAAATATTAGTCATAAAATAAAACATTTGACCGATTTCTACATGTTCTTTTCTAGATATTTCTTAGATCTATATAAACAACTGACAAACTCTCACCAGAATCTTGCGTCTCTTCCTGAAGGATTCTCTCAGTGTCAATCAAGGCATCTGTGAGGTCGCATTGGTTAATCTCTGCGGTCTCTGCTGGTGGGCAGGAGGGAAGGGATGCGGGACTTTCTGACAGCTAAAAAACAGACATTTTAGAGTTGAAAACAAGCAGGGGGAAAGAAGCTATAGTACAACTTCAAAAGACAAATCTCACCAGAAGTTTCTGTCCGGCGATCTCCGTGGGGGATGTGTGGCGAGGGGGAGGGTGTAGATCGCCCTGGGAAACCAGGTACTGCAGCATGTTAACTAGAGCAGCGCACGAGTCCGCACAGGTGTGTACGTGAACTACATTATTAGAACAACGAAGCTCAAACAGCGGCTGAGTCTGGGAAATATTCATAAAGACAGACAGATAGTGGAAGATTAGAAAAAACAAAACAAGCATTTGTGAGAAGTTGACAAAATTTTAAGCAGCAGCTGAAGTCCTGCGATATTATTAGTATATTATTTTACATAAATAAATAACCTAAAATATTGATGTTTACTGGTGATGTTACTGGTCATATTTAAATTATTTTACAAAAAAATGCACTGTAAGTCACTAATATATGAACTAATATACAGTAAATCTTCAAGCCGGTAAAGATTAGCATGAAACTAACCAGTTTACTTGAGTCAGATCCTTTCCAAGTCGTTATGGCCAGTTCCAGCAGATCAATGTCTAATACACAAACATAGTCTGAGACACATAAAAACAGTATGATTAGAGGTGGCCCACAGTAATGCAAATTCAGATTTTCAAAGCTATGCTTGTTCTGTACCTCGCCTCAAATCCACCGTATCACTTTCACATTGATCAGACAGGTACAACGCAGAGTCGTCTAAGATAAACCTAAAAGTAGATATCAGAGTGGTTAGATCCAATCGATTAATCTTCGTGCAAGCGTTTAGGATCACACTAGTCACCAGTACCTGAGGTGAAAGGTTGCGGTGTCCACAATGATGTTGCTGGATAAAGAAAAGGACTCAGCTGTAAACAAAACTCGCAGAGGAAGATAAAGAGGCCTGGAGAGAGAAAAGACAAAGAAAGTTGACAGAAAGAACAAAGAGCATTTGTCAGACTTCTCCAAACATTCAGTGTTACTACAATACCTGTAGTCCACTGCACAGGTGGCCAGGTGTGTGTGAAGAACTGTGATGACGGCAGGTGGGGTGTAGCCTAAAATGTCATCATCGATGACATCAAGGAAATCAATAATCTGAATAGAGAATGAAGAGAGACACATCAGCCAGACGTTCATGACAGATTTAAAGCACGCATCTAATCTAGTTCCCAACAGGTACCTGCTCATGCCAGCTGTGATTGGTCAACGCCATGTGATGTCGTAAAGTAGCACCATGGAGTCGCAGCGCAACCACAAACTCCTACAGAGAAAATGAGATGAATACTTATAGGTGACGAACAAAAAACAAACAACTATTATTAACAGAACCGACAGGCGAAAAGCAGATGAAATAATTTTCACAGTACACAGGACAACGCCGCTTTACAAAAAATCCTGATGTTAAAGGATTAGTTCACTTTAAAAAAAACTTTTGCTGATAATTTACTCACCCCCATGTCATCCAAGATGTCCATGTCTTTCTTTCCTCAGTCGAAAAGAAATTAAGGTTTTTGATGAAAACATTCCAGGATTTTTCTCCATATAATGCACTTTGCTGGGCAGCAAACGGTCCAAGGTCCAAAAGACAGTTTCAGTGCAAACTGTTCAAAGGGCTTTAAACGATTCCAGACGATGAATAAGGGTCTTATCAAGCGAAACGATCGCTCATTTAAAAAAGAAATAACAAAGTTTAAGTTTTATAAGCTCAAATGCTCGCCTTGCTCTGTTCTGTGTGACTCTCCTGTTCGAACTCGTTCATCAAAATGAACAAATCTTTTTCCGAGTCAATTCGTTCATTTCGTTCGTTAAATGAACCAAATGACTCGAAAAAAGATTTGTTCATTTTGATGAACGAGTTCGAACAGGAGAGTCACGAACGTGCATCACAGAACAGAGCAGGGCGAGCATTTGACATTATTAAACTTAAACTTTGTTATTTATTTTTGAAATGAGCGATCGTTTCGCTTGATAAGACCCTTATTCATCGTCTGGAATCGTTTAAAGCCCTTTGAACAGTTTGCAGTTTGCACTGAAACTGTCTTTTGGACCTTGAACCGTTTGGTGCCCAGCAAAGTGCATTATATGGAGAAAAATCCTGGAATGTTTTCATCAAAAACCTTAATTTCTTTTCGACTGAAGAAAGAAAGACATGGACATCTTGGATGACATGGGGGTGAGTAAATTATCAGCAAAAGTTTTTTTTAAAGTGAACTAATCCTTTAATGTTTATAATATCTTAATGCCTAATAGTCACATTAAGCAAATCAGAGTTGTGTGGTAATATAGTTTACATTTTGCAAGTATGCTGTATGTATGCATGCTGATAAAGTAAACGCACTAACCTTGACATTCCTTTCAAGATCTAATGTGATTTGAATGGCAGTTGACAGCATCTGAACGCCGGTTTCTCGGCCACCGACGCTGCTCACCCCCACCTCTGTGGGGTAAATGGTAAGGTCCAGATGACCTGGGGAAGTGAACCTGGGCATTTCCAGTTTCACAGGAATAGGGGAGTCTGGCACCTCCGCTGTATAAAGAGCAAAAGACACACAAATTATTTGTCATTTCAGAACAGTTTCCCCCATGTAAAAACTACAGGAAGAGTTTTAAAAGGTTTAACAGCTCACCTTTATGATACAGCTCCACTCTTTTGCTCTCTATGGTCAGGAAGTTGAGATTGGGATTGTTCTGGTGTTGCGTCACACTAAAAATCTTCCCCCCTTCCAAGTCCAAAATTAGTTCTCCATGACAGAGGTCCACTTTACGTCCAGCTTCATTCTTAAAATGGTATCAAAATTGGATTTGTGAAATGTGAATTGAATTGGAAAAGTTAAATTTGACTGGTATTGGTGTCTACTTCTGAAATTTTGCTTTCAAACTCTACACCAAAGCCACACCAATGCATCATGCAATTTTTCACTTAATATACCTTGCTGTCTGTCATGGCTTGAAGGCGGCCTTTTCCAATCAGCACTGTTAAACAGAGCAGACTCAGTGCGTGGCTGGACTGAGGCTCTAAGTGTTTCCTTCTTTTTGATTGCTTGGCTGAGTAGAACTCAGGCTCCTCTTCCTCAGAGTCAGATTCTGGCATAAGTGAAAAGACTAGAAATTAATTTTTAACCCTCAAGTTGTGTTTCAGTCATTTTGACCCAGAGAGGATTTTCTTTTTCCTGAAAATGCTAGTTAATTGTATCGCATTGGACTAAATTTACTTACATTGCTCACACAATATAATTTTTATTTTATTTTTTAACATTCCCCACCTTGTAACTTTATTGATCTGAGCTTATGCACCTCAGTTTTTTTTTTTTGAGGTGAATAAGCTTGTGTACTTTTTTCACTCAAAGAAATCATGATAAAGCTCAGATCAATGAGGCCTACGATCAGTCAGCTCTTGTGCTTAAAACTTGTGCTAATTGAAAGAAAACAAGGTGACAAAAAGATTGAATCCACTATTTGATGATAATTTAGCATAATGAGAGATTTACCAGTCATTTCAAATGCGGATAATTTTTTAAATGATTAGGTAAAGGATTAGGGAAAGGATTTTCAACAGCACAATCCAATTCAAAATATGAAGATACACTATAATAGTACATAAATAATGCTAAAATAACCCTGAGCCAAAATTTTCATAATTTGAAATATGAAACAGATGATCACGACTGACCCAGCCTGAATGCAGATTTACAGAGGTAAAATTCATCCTCTTCAGGTCTGTGCTGGTGGGAGGAACTACGAGAACTTTGAAAAGAAGAAGGAGGAGCAGGAGGAGGGCACGGAGGAGGTGGAGGAGGCTCCCACATCAACAGATCATTATTAATCCTGGGGAGAAAGAGTTAAAGAAATTAGTTTTATTTTATTTTGGAAAATACAAAGGATTGGCTGGCAAAAAAAATAAGAAGTTAATTTTGCATCTGACACAACATGCATATAATCTGAAATGTTATTTTATGCTGAAAAGGGTATTTGGAATCATTGTTCTTTTGAATGTGTAAGAATTGAGTGATACCTGTTATAGATACTCAGAAAAGCCTCTTTACTGGGCAGAAGGATGTAAGCTACAGGAAACGTGATATCAACCACATACTGACACTGACATATACACTGAGACTGAAACTCTTCCATCTCCTCTGGGTCAGCTGGGATCACCATCTGAGAAAGAGACAGAGAATGAGTGAAGTTTAGGAATGAATGAAAGAAAGACAGACGGGCAGACTGGACATACCTCTTCCGTCTCAAACATGGTACGATTGGATGAGAAGGGAGAGCTGTTTTTCTCTCGTAGTTCACATGGGTTCTCCAGAGACATGGAGCCCAGCCCCAGATCCCTGTTCACCCCTTCACACACACCCACACCGTCAGATCCCACTCCCTCATTCACTCGCACCTGAATCCTACAGGTGGAAAAGAGAGGGAGCTAAGATTCTAAAGATTTGTATAACCTATTGTATTATATTTTACTTAAAGCATAATCTCAGACACACATACACTCACTGACTCACCTGGGAATGCCATCAGGGTTCTGCGGATCTGGGCTCTTCTGCACACGGATACAGGGAAATGCTTCTCCCTCCCAGCCTTCATACACTCCTAAAACACACATCAAATTAATTTAGAAAGAAAACAACATTGAATCCTCAACACTAGACTGCAGAAAGAATATAAACAGAAACAAAATCTAACAGAAACTAACAGCAAATATATTTTTGACTTTTAGAAAAATGTGCACTGACCATCAACATTTATATATATATAAAAAAAAATTTAAATTGAAAAAAATGGGAATTGAATTTCATTTGTAAAAATAAAAATAAATAAAAAAAGACATTTAGCCCAGCTTATAAGGCTGATGCATTAGAGAGACACACTACTTGCTGAATAAAAGTATTAATTTCTGTCAAACTTTTGAGTGGTAGTGTATGTGATAACTGAAAAGAAAAAATGATCTTTGGATGCTTTACCGTGCAGATCGGTGAAACAGGCCTCTAGTAGTTTGGTAAGTTTGGCTCCTGGGTTGCAGGGGCCGTCCTGCTGAACGTCTGACCCCTGCTGAGACTTCAGCTCCAGATTAGAGATCTGCAGACTCAAGATCTCACTTCGCACTGCCCGCTGGCTTAAAGGCCGCCTCAGCCCCGGGGGTCGAAGGTCAGGGATGGGGAAACGGACCTTCAGCACGGTGTAAGGAGATTGAAGCAGGAGAGAAGAGTGGAGCTCCAACAAAAGAGACTGAAGAGAAAAAGAGAGAGGAATAAACTATACATTACAACCAATTTCATTGTGAATGCCTTTTTGGTGAGGAATGGGTTATTTTTGAACAGGAGCATCTAGTGACCTCTGCAGCATGTGCTGCGTTTCTTTGTGGTGGCGATGGACAATAGCTCAGGGCCTGCAAGATGTCCTCCAGTCGGCCCAGAATGTCAAGGTCCAACTCAGAGCTGAGCTCCCCGAGCTCGACCCGCAGCGAGCTGTCTCTGCGCACCACACGCCGCCTGCTTCCACTCTACACGACAGAAAACAGCAAGAACAGTTTAAAGGGGTCATATAATGGTACATGCACTTTTACAAGTTGATTGTACTGAAATGTGTGTTGGCAGTGCCTGTACACAAGCATCATATAATGATAAAAAATCCATCCAGTGTTTTTGTTTTAATCTCCTTATATGTTTTCCCCTGCCTCAAATCGAGCCATTCGACCGTGTGACGTCACACGGTCGGAAGCCCCTCCCACGATTGTTGATTGACAGCAGCGTTTCAACACAGACCCTCCCTCGCGAGCGAGCTGTCAATCATAGTCCGCGCGGACCGGCGCGGTCATTGTTGATTTCCTGGAGCACTGTCTATGAGCAGAATGGCGTCTAAGCGATTGTGGTGTTCTGTTCTTGGGTGTAATAACGAACACAGCAGTCATTTTAATGTTCCTAAATCTGAACCGCTGAAGACGCAGTGGCTGAGTTTGTTTTCGAAGGGAATATTCCCCACGAGCAACGTCAATGCTTTCATGTTTGCGCGAATCATTTCTCACCAGACTGCTTTATAAACGAGGGTCAGTATAAAGCTGGTTTTGCTAAGAAGCTGCTCCTGAAAAAGGATCGGTACCAGCTATTCGTGTTCCTGCTGAACCTCCAGAAGAACCGAAGTGAGTGTAACGTTTTATTAATCTTTATATTAATCTTTGCAAATCGCTTGCACGCTTCACGATGAATGCGTCTAAGGTTTACACTCAGGGTACATTACGGCATGTTTTCTATGTACGACATTCTCAATATAATTCATAATCCCACGTTTATACTGAACAACGCATTATGGTTATTGTGTTATTGTGTTACAAACGGTGTACGCACAGAACAGAGAGGCGGGGTGAGCAGAGCTCATTATCATTTAAAGTCATATGCACTGAAACGGCGTGCTGAAAACAGAGCTGTTTTTGACCAGGTAAAATAAGTGTTTTCTTACAATAAAAATGAGAATTTTGAATTAAAGTATATTACATACTTTTAATTTAGATCCTAAAGAATCATATTAGCTTGTACAAAAATGGTATTATATGACCCCTTTAACATAGACCTATAGCGAAAGTATTAAAGACAAGAACTCTTCTCACAAGTCCATGCCACAAGACTCTGTCAAGCTGCAGTACCTTACGCATGTGCTTCTCAGATAGACTGTGGTGGAACTGGGCACAGGGTCTGGCAGTGGTGCCCATCGTGAAGACACCGGCTGACTGGAACTGCAAAAGCTGGGAGAAGAAACACACATGCATTTCAAAAGAACTCTTCCAGAACCTTCATCAGCCTGCAAGATGTTTCCTACTGGGGATTTGCAAGTCTGACTTGTCATAACTCAAACTGTATTCACATCTGTTTGAGATTATCCTTGAGCAGTTGGCAAAGCTAGTGAGGTGTGACTATATTTAACCATTACACCACTGTAATAATCTGGTAACGTTCTGGTAATAAGGCCGTTTGGATGTTTTGACCATCCAGATTGTATTCCAGAGTGCAACAAGGTAAAAAAAAAAAAATTCTACAAATTGATGTAGCAAATGTGTTTCAAGAGGACATCTAATGAAAAACAGGAGATTACTGCACTTTACATGAAATAAGAGGTCAAATATTAGTCAAATATTAGGTCAGTATGTGGTCAACCAATCATAATCATAAGTCATTTACATGTAGTCTTAAAATGGCAGCTATTTAATTCTAAGCTTTTTATAATTTTAAAGGTCAGAGAGAAGCGAGAAAATGGTATATGGTCATAAAAAATGGTAACACGTTACAATATTGCTCAATTCGTTAACATTAGTTAATGAGTTAGATTTAATTGATGATTATTATTATTATTAATGGTTATTATTATTACTACTACTTCTACTAAATAAAAATATTAAACAAAATAACTATTGTAATATTTAACTGTAAAAATTTATTTTATTTTAATTTTTTTATTTTAATTTTACAGTACAACTAAAATATCAATACTATTTATGACTGTCTTAATTTCTTCATTCTAAAATGTTAAACATCCAACATTTCTTTTATTTTGGCAGAAAACTGCAGGAAGCCTATAAAGCAAGGGTTTCTCAACTCTGTCCCTCGAGGTCCACATTCCTGCAGAGTTTAGCTTTAACCTTGATTAAATTAGGATTGGAGCAAAATCTTTATAAGCATTTTTCATGAAAAGTTTAGGAAGATGGTTGCTGAACTTTATAGGACTGATTTTGGTAAAAGAAACTAAATTTATGAGTGGACTTCAGATGAAAATTAAAAACACATAAAATGTGAACCCATCACCCAACCCAGAAAGCCTGATAGATAATAAATAGCATTTGGGTGCAAGAGTCTGAAGATGTGCTGTTTACTTCTGTGTACTGCGGACCACCCGAGTCCCACAGGCACTCCAGCAGTTCCAGCCTGCTGAAGGAGAGGTCGGAGGTCGTGGCTCGGATGTGTCGCCCTGCGCTACGCATCTCACATGCAAGTTGAACTGCTGCACCGGTCACCCTGAAGATCAGAGGTCAGAGGGAGTCAAAAGAAGTGCATTCACGTACATATACAATCAGTGAGCATAACGGTTGATTCCTGTTGTACCTGATGTGGGAGTGGGCACATGCTTTAGCAAAGCTTCCTCTCAGGTTCTGAAAGTCTCTCTCGCTGAACATGCTGTCCTTAAAGAACGCAAGCTCACGGAAAAACAACTTTGACACCTCAGCCAATGAGGAGAGCCCATCCGGCCCAGGAGGCGGGTCCTGCTCTAAAAGAGTCAGGGTGACTCCACCCAATGAGAGGCGAAGCAACGAATCTGGTTTCATCGGCTCTGATTGACCGTCTCGAGACGACCGTTCTATTGGGAAAAAAACAAAAACACTGTTGACGGATTGCAAGATAAAAAGTTAATGGAAAGCAGTGACATACACAACGTGTGTGTTTAACCCTCTGGGGACCAGAAACGCGCCGGCGCGTTTTGCTTGTTTTTTTTCACATAGCAGAAAAATAGACTTAAAGTACTACCATAATTTCTGTTCATATAGAGTTAAGAAATATGAGAAAATAATCTGTTAAATGTCTACTTTTTTATGTGCCCACATACAATCGAAATAAAATATTGTGCTTTTGTAAAATAAAGAAAATAAACAGGGTGTGCGTTCTGCCTCTCGGTCACCGTGAACTTTTTTTCTGGAGCACGTCTCTAATCTTCAACACAACTCAGCTAATACTATTCACCCAGCCATAAGCAATATATCTTTTAAATCATTTGAGTTTGTACTTTTAAATGATCCGATTCAAAACTAAAATTATTATTCTCCGTTTATGTCATCTATATAAAAAGAGAGACGTGTCAGCCCGTCTCATTATCGTTCTCTCAGCTGATTATCTCTGGTAATGTGACACGCCCACGGAGAGCACGCGCTATTCAAACGCAAATATGTGAAGCAACACATTGAGACGCGTTAACGCCCATAAACTCTGAAAACACACATTATTTTTTAGTCAGATTAATCTACTGTCGTCTTGCGCGGCTATATGAGGAACAATCCTGGGACATTTACCACTGGGTTTATTTCGAGGATGAACAGATTCAGCTGAGAAGTAAGTGTTTTTTGCAAGTGCTTTGTTCTAATCGCGATATAGAATAACGTAGTGTCTGTAAACGGAAAAATAGCATACTGTTAAATGTGAATCATGTTTGTGTGTGTGTGTGTGAATGAATGAATGAATGAACGCACAGATACGCACTGTTACAGACTAAATAACAGACAACATTTCGTTGACTCGTTTTGGATAAAGTTTTTACTCTAAAATAGACATCAAATAAGCTTTTTTTAGGAGTTTCTGCTCATATGTTAAATATATAGTATGTTTTGTCAATAAACTAATCAACTAAGATGTTATAGTGTTTGTTCAAGCTATATCAAAATAATGAATCCTCAACTTTGAAATATGTATGATCAAACTAAGACATTTATGGAGAATTTTCTTTTCAAGATGTTTCCAACTCTAACTTTGAACTGAAATAAAACCATGTCTATATGGTGAAGGGTGTGTGATAGAAGTGTCCAGACGTATGCACCCTGTATTTTCCTTATATAAATCTAAACAATCTAAAAGCCATTCTTTTTTAAATCTCCTCATTCTTTGTGCAAGGCTCCTCTAATGATATGGCCTGATAGCACCTAATAGGGCCATTATGGGAGGGTCTTTGTCTTTCTCAGGTGTGGAATGCCACACATATTAATGAGAGATCACGCCTCCTCGCATAAAGCTTTCTCAAACAAAACACGTCATTAAAAATGTAAAAGACTTTATTGACTTATCTGAATGAGTAGTCAGGATGATTCTCACATAGTTTTGGAGCAAATGTTCTAGGCTATGTGATACAATTTTCAAAAGTCTTGTGAAGAAATAATCAATATGTGTTTTGTGGTCTTATTTCAGCAACTTTCATTTTTATTTTTTTCAATAACCACGCATAAACATTATTCTATTAAAAATACAAACATGTACATACATGTTGCTCAGATATCATGGTAGCCAAGTTTGTACTATATAGAGTGAATTTACACCTTTGCCATTAACATGTTTATAAATAACTGAAAAAAGCACAAATGTCAGTGCATGTCAAAACATCCCAAGGGCCCCAAAAACACTCTGGTCCCCAGAGGGTTAAAACAGGTTTAGATACATACTTGGAGGTCTGCTACATTGAGGCAAACTAGATAAGGATCCTGGTACAGGATAACGACGAGGACAGTTGAGCATTCCCTGTAAGAGACACATCATAAAGAGCAGGCCAATCATACACATACATACATACATGGGTAGCTGATGCAAAACAGGTCCATGGACTTGATCAAAATCAATATATTAAGTTAAAATTTATTTGAATATACAAGGGAAAGCGTGTTATTTTAGAGCCTGTATATTATGCGTTTATGCATTTGGCAGATGCTTTTAACCAAAGTGACTTGTATAAAGGTATACTGTTTATCAGTTCATGCATTCCCTGGGAATAAAACCAATGACCTTGGTGTCGTTAGCGCCATGCTCTACTGTTTGAGCTACAGGAACTGTGTATGGTCACAATTTCTTTAGATTTTTTTTTTGTGCTAATTTACCTATGCAACTGAATTAAAAAATGTAGTCTCTCAATTAATATGTCGTCAGAAAAGCTGCATGCATAATACTAAAGAATTAGCTAATTGTTTTTAATACAGCAAAATACAATAGAGCCATTCTAATGTGACTTAACGAGAGAAATGTTTTTGAAACAAAGCAATTTTTTGGTCATTCTCTGAAAGACAGTTCAGACACCTGAATGAATCATTCTGAACTTGATGAGAAAACACCTTTGCACATATAAGCACTGACCTGTGGAGACAGAGGGTTTGTTTGAGCCAGGCTGCTCTGGCTATGAATGGACGAGTCCATATCGCTGTCAGATAATTCACTCCCGGAGCGTGTCGACAACATACTGCTGGTCATATAGCCAGGACCCATTGAATAAAACATGTCTGAGACAGAAGAACGGTCAAGATCAAAAACACACAGAATAACAAACAAAAATAAAGCAATTCTGGCAAAATACAGAACTAGAAATAGTTCCAGAGGCTTTTATCATTGATAAAAATTAAGAAATGTTTCTTGAGCAGCAAATCAGCATATTAGAATGATTTCTGAAGGATCATGTGACTCTGAAGACTGGAGTAATGATGCTGAAAATACAGCTTTGCCATAACAGGAATACATTTTATTTTAAAATATAATCAAATAGAAAACAGTTCTCTTAAATTGTAATAATACATTTACAACACTATTGTTTTTACTGTATTTTTGATCAAACGCATAAGAGACTTTTTTCGAAAACATTAAAGAAAATTATTCCAAAATTTAGACCAGTAAATTACTGCAAAAATAGTCATCTAGTAGTGTGCCATTCTGAACATACCCACACAATTATAATCAGTCATCTATAATAAACTCAACAAAATATTGACTATCCTCACCTCCGTTCACCATGGTGCTGATATAGGGCTCTGAGTCCAACTCCAGGTCTCTGTCATACATTTCTGTGTTCAGCTGCTTACTAAGATCCTCTTCAATCAATCGCAGATCATCAGAACCCAGAGGCCTAGAAACACCCCCACCAGACAGACCACCACCACCACCACCACCACCACTGCCTTCTGACAAACAGAGAGAGAAAGAGCACTGGACACTGTCAATCATACAAGAAAATGGCTAAATTCATGCTGGTGCAAACAGCCACATGATGACTGTTGATGCGTCTCATTTGTACTATACTTTAAGACATTTAAAAAGGGACAGTGAATTATAACGCATGTTAAAAGACGATGACCAAACACACAACAGAGTGCTCATGTTACCTGATGTCTCGATGCAGAGGGAGGACAGGAGGTCTGTCAGCTGAGTGATCTGACTGGGGGACAGCAGCAGGTGGAGACACCCTACTTTACCATCCAACTCAAACTAAGAGGAAAAAGAAATTCAGAATACGGTTGTCTGTGTGAACAATGAAACAACGATGGATCTTTTGGGTTGAACTAATCAAAATCTTACATGCATGCTCAAGCAATGATCTAATCATTTAATCTGATTCAAAAGAATCATGATTGTCCATCTAACATAACAATTCCTATTCAATTCAATATTTTAAGTTTGCACAGCACTTTTCACAATACATATAGTTTCAGGCATTTTCTGTAAAGTTGCTTTGTTTAAATGATACAATTAGGAAGTATTCTGTTATCTGCCAGAGATGAGTGTATCAACGAAATGGAGTGTATCCATATGGCAGTAATATACAGCTGTAATATTATACATGTTATTTGGTTAGTTAACATAATATATCTAACAACAAACATGGCAAAAGTATTTTATTTATTCATTTCCTATTGTGCACACAAACCTTGGGCCCAGGCAGCATTTCATTTTGTTTGATTTTGACTGTTGTCTCTATGAATCCAGAGCATTGTCCAATCAGCAGAGGCTCAGGGGGCTTCTGGGTGGGATGCAATGATTGCGGGGCATCGGAGGCATCATCATCTTCATCATTTTCATCTGTCTTATCCGTCTCCCTGCTGCTCGCCATGACATCAGAATGAATCAGCCCCTAAATGGATGAGTTGAATGAATGAGGCATTTATATAGCGCTTTCATATGTACTACTGTACACCCAAAGCGCTTTACAATCATATCAGGGGTTCTCTCCTCAACCAGCACCAGTGTGCAGCATCCACTTGGATGATGCGACGGCAGCCACAGTACAACGGCGCCAGTGCGCTCACCACACACCAGCTATAGTTGGAGAGGAGAGAGAGTGATAGAGCCAATTCAGTGGATGGGGATTATTAGGAGGCCATGATTGGCAGGGGCCAATGGGTGGACTGTGGCCAGGACACCGGGGTTACACCCCTACTCTTTACGAGAAGTGCCATGGGATTTTTAATGACCACAGAGAGTCAGGGCCTCAGTTTAACGTCTCATCCGAAGGACGGTGCTCTTTGACAGTATAGTGTCCCCGTCACTATACTGGGGCGTTAGGACCCACACAGACCACAGGGTGAGAATGACCATGTCCATTGCAGACAGGAAAAGTATGCTTGCCATAGCAATATTTATATTTATGCGTTTAGCAGATGCTTTTAACCAAAGCACCTTAAAAATAAGGAACATCACAAGCGATTTATCATTATAACCAACATTATTTGTGGTACACAATATTTAAGTTTAAAGTAAAAATTAGATTAGTACTTAAGCTAGAACAGAAATGCAGAAAATAAAAAATGTAAACGCCACTAACTAACAGGTTGTAGTTTCCTCACCTGTGATCCTCCCAGGGTCTCGTAGAGCAGCTGCACGGAGTTGAGCTGAAGGATCTTGTGCAGGAAGGCTGGTGGCTGGTGGATGTCTACAGGCACTGTCTGGTTTGAGTCTCTCACAGCCTCATCACAATAATCCACCCTGCAGTACCACACACCACCACCGGGGACAAAACACAGCTTGGTCACAAACAATGGAATGCACATGAGCCAATGAGTATTTTTAGCTTAACCTGTTAATAGACTAAAATAATGTAAAATTTTTAAAAGTATTTTGACAGGCAAAAATGTTTTTACAATAACATAGTACAATACTTTTGTTTAGATTAAATTGATCAATTGATCAAAAGTGACATCAAAGACATCTACCCCCGGTTTCACAGACAAGGCTAAAGCTAGTCCCCGACAAAAATGCATGTTAGAGCTGTTAACTGAAAGCAACTTGCACCGAGATATAATATGTCACTGTCATTGTTTTGTCTCAAGATGATTTTTTTTCTAAGGCATGTTTATAAAAGCGAATTAAATGTCCTAATTGAACTAAGGCCTAATCCTGGCTTAATCTAAGCACTGTCTGTGAAACCAGATCTTAGAATTATACACACACAAAAAAAATCACTTTTAAATAAAGTTTTTCTTTTGAACTTTTTGTTCATCACAGAATCCTGACAAAAAAAAATGTAGCAGTTTCCACAAGAATATTAAGCAGCACAACTGTTCCCAATATTGATAATAATAATAAGAAATGTATCTTGAGCAGCAAATCAGCATATAAGAATGATTTCTGAAGGATCATAATGGAGTAATGATGTTGAAAATTCAGCTTTGACATCACAGGATTAAATTACATTTTAAAATATATTGAAATAGAAAACAGTTATGTTGAAGTGTAAAAATATTTCATAATATTACTGTATTTTTGTTCAAATAAATGCAGCCTTGGTGAGCACGAGAAACTTCTTCTCAAAAACATTAAAACATCATACTGACCCATTTATTAATGGTACACCGAGTTACATTAGCTGGCACACTATTAATTCATCATACTTGATAAATAAACAGACAAAAACAAAATACATCCCTAGGAGTATCAGGATGGCCTCACCGTTTAATGCGCATCTCTAAGGCAACCCCAGCCTCAGCGTCCAGGGAATGGTGTTCTACTCGCACTATAGTGTCCAGGAAGGTGACTTTTATTCGACGTAGGACTGCAAACACACACACATGTTCATGTGATAAATTGCAGTAAGCTGGTTATCTGCCACACATCAGGGTCTCAATCACCCTGTAAGGCTTATTTAGTGATAATCACTGGCTGAGAGTATATTATCCATGCATACTAACCATATAAATGAATAAATGTACAAATTTGTTGTTTTAAATTAATAATAAAAATATATATAAAATTAAATATATAAACTAAATAAGAATATAAATAAAAACATAAAAATTATTTTATAACTATAAGAGCTATGGATGAAAATCCACTGCCCCGGACAACTGTCAAAGATCAAGGAAAGTTTAGGAGAGTTTAACTTCATGAATCAATACACAAATGTACTAACTAGACACAAGAGGTGATACACACCTGTCTCGATGGTCTGTGCAAACATTTCCAGCCCCTCCAGTGGAGCAGGCGGCTCTTCTGACGCCTCGGGCGGGTCCTTCAGGCACTCCTGGGCCAGCTGCATGCTGGACGTCATGCATGACGACCACCCTTGGGAATCCCAGTTCCCGTCTAACAGAGATCAGAGAGAACAAATTATTGAACAGTAACTCAATCCTGTATAAAATATGGCTATACGCATCAAACCAAACGAGTCCACAAAGAATGGTCAACAGAACTCACTGGTTCTGTATTTGGGTCTGCATGTTATTTGCAATCCAGTGACTTCAAGGGTGCAGTGTTCTGTCACAAGTGCTGCCCAGGGAATAGTCACTGTAATGGTGTTCACAAAACCTTCAACAATCTCCAGCGGAGCTCCCAACGACTCCAACAACTCGTTCACCGCCTGGAAAGAAGATTCAGAGTATAGTTAGTGAATCTGAAGGTCAAATGATCACAGATAAGAACAGAAGATGTCAAAATGACTGTGAAAAAGGAGAAGGATGCGCTAATTGCGTTTTGAATTTTTTTTACCAATATTGCAATTTAATATACGATTACTTTTATCTTCTGTATTATTCAACAAAGACAAGCAATAAATCATTGTATAATATGACCAACACAATATTAGATAGATTAAATAAACTGTTCTTTCATGTAGGCCAGACCTATATGTTATGATGAAAATAGGTGATGCATGAATTGATATGAATGACAATTTTAACTACTTCAACAGTAATATATTGACTGATTTGTTGAACTTTTAAACACAATTTATACTCTGGAAAAATGTATATTATAAATGTGTAATATATATATATATATTTAAATAAATTATCATAATGTTAGATTTGTTCATCTATCAATTTGTTATTATTTATTTTCATCTTTTTTTATTTCATTATTTATTACACTTTTTTTCCTCTCAACTTTCCACCAACCCACAGATGACAACACCACAGAAGTGTGCAGACTCAAAATGTGAAAGCAAAAGTTAGTAAACCTTTGTCACTGTGTCTCGAGACCAGGAAGAGAATCTAAGATGCAGTCTTTTCTGCACAAGTCATCAAACCTTTGGAAACACGAGTGCTCCTTCAACTAGATGTGTTGATCTTAAACTCAAGTCCAGATATTGCGAAACACGGGCAATAAGGGGACAAGGAAACCGGCCTGGGCATGTCTTACCCCACACTTACCCACACATCCAGGTTAATTTCACTAATGACCCCGCTGCCATTGTACAGGTCCAAGCTCAGCTGGTCCAAACTGAGTCTCTCCTCCAAAAAGTGGCCCAGATAGTGCTGCAGGAGGTACCGACAGGCCCGTTTCTTTATTGAGCCCGACCAGGGGAAGAGCCACCGAGACATAGGGCCAGAGCAGACGGGGAGAGGGAGCCGAGAGGTGGTGGAACAAGAGACCAGTCCTGCATAACAGACTTAAAACCCCCTCGGTAGTGTGTGTGAAAGTGAGAATACAATAATACAAGCCTACTAGGGTGGACAAGAGCGGGTGAAACCGTCTAACTTCCTGTCTTTTGACACCAAAATCCCCCGGTTCTTCGTTTTTGGACGTAAGTTTGTCCACAGCAGAGTTTACAAGAGATTCTTTGTGTTGAAAATGGTCACTCCGGTTCTGTCTTTAATAATGTATGTCACTCAAATATGCGACAGGTCCTCTACGGTTCCTCTGGTCAACGGGTTGTTTATTGTTTTCATACTCAGACTGAACGAAAGTGCGTGATGACGTGGGCGCCACTGAAGATGCCAGAAGTTGGAGGCGTCAGTTCGCCATGTTGGGACGGTCAACACGTCATCCAAATAATCAAATTTCTTGTACCAAATATTATGTAGATTTATGATATTATTTATATTTTACCGCGTAGAGCGTTATGTAAAAAACACTAAGTAATAACTTAAGTATCGTTACATAGAATTACCATATGCAATATGTAGGCTATATGTCACAGAATAGCGCTTACAATACCATTAAAACATTTGGACACTCCTACTCAATCTGTATTACAATGCTCACATTTTATAGTAGGACTTAAACTATCAACAAAATATATGTGATTTTGTGACCATTGTGTTAAACAAATCAACACTTTTTTAACAGTATTTAAAGAGTTCATCATGTTGCAGATGCTTAGATTAGTCTTGAAAATGAGTTATCTATTTTTTTTCTTGAAGACTGGTCCTAATTTTTTTTAAAGTCAGTTGCATAAAAAGTTAGATTGCTCTAATTTGAATCAGAAAAGTAAGACTGATTACCTCAAGTAATTTTTAGTTGGTCAAATTAGTTCTTAAGTCAGTCTTAACATAGAGGCTAAGTTTATGCAACTGGCCACTGTCAGATGTATGTTATGCACTTGTTGGCTGCTTTTCATTTATTTGCTCCAACATAAATTCAGTCACATGTTCCCAAATGTATCTGGAATTTCCAAGGGCCAAATATTCCTCCTGTGCTCTGTCATGAATGTAGAATTATATTTAGCAATAATCAAAGTGATCTTTCTTTAATATAGCGAAGACTTAATTAGGTATTGATGTTTTATTATCTTGCTGAGAATAGCCTGAATAAACAAACTTTATTTCTGCAAAAGTTTAGCTCAACACCAACAAAAGCGCAGCACATATTTTAGACATCACAATTAAAACAGAAATGTGCTTTTTTAAAATTAATACAGAAACAGTGCTGTAGTACGTACAAACCTGATGTATAATCCTTAAGGAAAAAATAAAATAAAATAATACAATTAATATAAAACAAGATTTTGCTTAATTTCAGTTTGACATCACAAATTAAGTGCCTGTTAAACAACAAATAAAACTATGTACATACAAACAGGTATTCATATATATTTCTGTTTGTTTGTTGTTTTCATTTTATGAAAGCAGCTTCTGGAATCTTTCCTTGAGCCTAAAAGAGAATAAAATATTATGATGAATGACTAGTTTTTAAGTCTCAAATGGATGTGACGAGATTTCAATAGCACACGGTCCACCTCAAACTATATATCTGATCACTGTAACCAACATACATTTACTGTAATGATTTACAACATGTTCACAAATCACCTGATCTCAAAGAGGGAATTCAAATATAATATTCAGCATGACTATTCAAAGACAGACATCAAGTTTAGAGATGGTTAATCATCTTTTGGAACATTTTAAACTAGTCAGGTTTTCAATAGTTAATGCATTTCAAAAAAATGGTTTATTGACAGCACAGAACTGCTGAAATGAAAAGAAATGAGGACATATTATACACCATTTACTAAAAACTGTCATTTCTGTTATCGGCCAAGCAGATTCATACCTTTAGTTCCGTGAAAATCTGAGCAGCTCGGTGAAAATCCCACGCGTTATCCTGGAGACATCTAACAGCAATACACAAGCCTTACTAACAGAATCAAGATAATATTGACTAGGGCTTGGCGGTATGACCAAAATCTTATATTAGTAAGTCTTTTAAAGTAAATGCAATTTTACGAATTAACAGCATAGTACAGTATAGTATTTTCACTGGAAATTCAATGAAAAGAAAAAATTATATCCTAAATAACAATGTGATAATACCTATTTCTAAATGAAATATTTTTTAAATAGAAAGTACTTCATTTTTTAAATCATGTAAAGCAGTCCTACTAATAACTGCACAAATATATCTACTGTGGTATAACTTACAGCCCAACATCCTTGGAAACAAATAAATATGATGCTATTTACAAAAGCAGAGATTTTGATATCACCCAGCCCTACTATTTCCCACATCCATAGAAACATTCATATTTAGTTCTAGAATCAAAGTGCCCCTATTATGCTATTTTAAAGGTTCCTAATTTTGTTCTGGAGGTCTCATGCAACAGGTTTACATGCATCTAAAGTAAAAAAATAATCGAAAAAAAAAAAACACTTTGCAGCATCAGCTCTTTTCTCACTGTGCTTGAAACGGTTCGATAAAGGATTTGGTCTCTCTAAACCCCTCCTTTCCGGGAGCTTTCTCTGCTCTGATTGGTCAGATGGCCCAGTCTGTTGTGATTGGCTGACCACTTACAGCGCGTGTCAGAAAACCAAACGCCCATTACCACATCTGAATTTCAGCTCCGGAGGCTTCCTCGGCGCTTGATACACAGTGATACGAACAATAATGACGCATAAATTTCACCGCATCAATTCCAGCGAGAGTCCTCATTCTTTAGAAGTGGAAGTTGAACCAAACTCTTCCAGACCCCAGCTACAACTACAGTGTTTGAGGGTCGATATAGTGGTTGTTCACGGGCAGCAAATGAAGACCATAGGCTGGCATTATGCAAATTTGTTACAAACCTACATAGGTTTGTGCAGGAAGAAAGACTGACGACTCATTTCAGGCAGTTCAGAATCGGTTCTTTCTTTTGGGAGATCTTTAAAACTTTGCATTCTTTTCCTTTTACATTCACAAACAGCTATATTACACTTCATGAAAGGTAATAAACTAAAAAGCATAATAGGGGCACTTTAAGACATACAAGTGTAAGGGCATGGTTTTTCTTCACTGCTCACTTTTGAGACCATTCCAGGTTCATTCCAGACTTCTGAGAGAAGGCGGAGAGCATTTCCTGCTGTGATGCAGAGATGGTGGGCACTGGGCTACTCGAGAGGGATGGGGCTGGTGCTGCAAACGCACAGCGGATCTCCTCAGTGGTGGCGTTCCTCACAAAGAGCTGGTCATTCACGATACACAGGCTGCAAGATGCAACAGATACCAATAAACATGCATCAAATCAACTTTGTGTTACCGAGAGGATATTTGCTCAAGTGATCAACGGTGATTCTTTTAATTGGCTGTTGGACAGTCAACATTCAATCTGTGAAATTCACCCAACAGCTGGACAGTGTGTCCACAGGGAGAAGCCAGTAAATGAAGATAACCACATTAAGCAATTCATTACAGCAAAAGATAAAGAAAAACAGAAGCAGAAAGTGTTTTTATCTAGTCACGGTTGTGATTTGCTGTTGGCTTTTCCTACCCAGAATTCCGAGCTGGAACTGTGACGAAGACCCTAGAGAACGCCCTGACAGAGTCTCTGGATTGGTCATCAACTGAAGAGAAGAAAATAAACATTTTGAGATGAACACACTGTTATTTTGACATGTAACCGTGTTCAAGCAAGACTCACCCTCTTTGAACACTCCACTCACTGTGAACACTAATAAAGTGCTCTATGGAAAAGACAGGAAAACAAGATGTCAAAAATTGTAAATAGCTCCAGTGATAACAGTGTTAAAATAATTGAGGAACTTACTGTGTATGTGTTGACATCAACATTGATTAAATTAATGTCATGCTGGGTCTTTGGGAGCTCATTGAGGAAGGCGACCAGAGTCAGGCGAGAGCGTTTTAGCAGGCGAAACCGACCGGCTGTAAAGAAGAAGATGGCTGTACATGACAAATATAAAATGGTTTTTAACATTGTAAACTCTAATTTGCTTGTTTCTCCTGAAACATACAGGGATCTTTGATGTTCTTGATATTGCGGCTGTGTTTATGATAATCTTTCAACCTGCACCTGCAAAATTATAGGAAAAAGAAATGAGACCACAAATAAACTGTACAATTTTGCACATTTACAAACATTAAAAAATATTTTCCATTTAAATTTACTTCCCCACTATTGAAGTGTTCAATGTGGATGCATCTAACAAAAGTCTGGGTCACATTTTATAATAATAAATAAATAATGAAACATTATATATTATAAACAATATATTTTTTTATAATAGTCTACTTCAAAAAGTTGCGAAAAGTCAAAAGTTTTAGGTTGATGCATATTGCAGAGAATAGACAGGGCACGCGATTGTTACTTACATGTGACTTGCTTGATGATAAAAAGAGTTATTATGCTCAATAAGCTGTGGAAAACAACTCATTGTGGTTCTGACACACACCAGAAGTGCACACACACACAAAAAAAACGCCTCTCGGACAGCGTACGATGCCGAATTCAACTCTCTTTTGTGGCTTATTGCGCTCAAACAGTCAGATATACAGTTATGTCAAAATGCCTGTCTTGGAGAGTATTCATGGTAACAGTCAGTTATATCTTAAGACTTAAGTTAACGTAAACAGTTGGGAAAGAAATCGGTTGTGTGTCAATAGGATTCCTGCATCGGGTCTTAATGTGACAGCAGCCTAATACAGTAAACCTGCTGCGGTCTGTCAAACTACAAAAGAAAAAAGAAAATCACTCACTGCTCTTGACTGAATAACCTTTGTAGCTTTAATATGAATCGATATACAGGTCCTTCTCAAAAAATTAGCATATTGTGATAAAGTTCATTATTTTCCATAATGTAATGATAAAAATTAAACTTTCATATATTTTAGATTCATTGCACACCAACTGAAATATTTCAGGTCTTTTATTGTTTTAATACTGATGATTTTGGCATACAGCTCATGAAAACCCAAAATTCCTGTGTCAAAAAATTTGCATATTTCATCCGACCAATAAAATAAGTGTTTTTAATACAAAAAAAAGAGTCAACCTTCAAATAATTATGTTATGCACTCAATAGTCAATACTTGGTCGGGAATCCTTTTGCAGAAATGACTGCTTCAATGCGGCGTGGCATGGAGGCAATCAGCCTGTGGCACTGCTGAGGTGTTATGGAGGCCCAGGATGCTTCAATAGCGGCCTTAAGCTCATCCAGAGTGTTGGGTCTTGCGTCTCTCAACTTTCTCTTCACAATATCCCACAGATTCTCTATGGGGTTCAGGTCAGGAGAGTTGGCAGGCCAATTGAGCACAGTAATTCCATGGTCAGTAAACCATTTACCAGTGGTTTTGGCACTGTGAGCAGGTGCCAGGTCGTGCTGAAAAATGAAATCTTCATCTCCATAAAGCTTTTCAGCAGATGGAAGCATGAAGTGCTCCAAAATCTCCTGATAGCTAGCTGCATTGACCCTGCCCTTGATAAAACACAGTGCACCAACACCAGCAGCTGACATGGCACCCCAGACCATCACTGACTGTGGGTACTTGACACTGGACTTCAGGCATTTTGCCATTTCCTTCTCCCTCCAGACTCTGGCACCTTGATTTCCGAATGACATGTAAAACTGAGCAACAGTCCAGTGCTGCTTCTCTGTAGCCCAGGTCAGGCGCTTCTGCCGCTGTTTCTGGTTCAAAAGTGGCTTGACCTGGGGAATGCGGCACCTGTAGCCCATTTCCTGCACACGCCTGTGCACGGTGGCTCTGGATGTTTCTACTCCAGACTCAGTCCACTGCTTCCGCAGGTCCCCCAAGCTCTGGAATCGGTCCTTCTCCACAATCTTCCTCAGGGTCCGGTCACCTCTTTTCGTTGTATAGCGTTTTTTGCCACACTTTTTTCTTCCCACAGACTTCCCACTGAGGTGCCTTGATACAGCACTCTGGGAACAGCCTATTTGTTCAGAAATTTCTTTCTGTCTTACCCTTTTGCTTGAGGGTGTCAATGATGGCCTTCTGGACAGCAGTCAGGTCGGCAGTCTTACCCATGATTGCGGTTTTGAGTAATGAAACAGGCTGATGACTGAGGGATTAATGACCTTTATCACAATATGCTAATTTTTTGAGAAGGACCTGTATATTCAATTCATTAATTTTATTATAGGGGTGCTCCGATCAGGATTTTTGGGGCCGATCACCGATTACTGGAAGCTGTATCACCCGATACCGATACCGATCACCGATTACAGGGTCTATTTGAAGACTTCTTTTTATCAAGTAGCATTACTTATTAAACTATATTTAACAACAATGTACATTAAGTATTACATTTAAGAGAAGACAATGCATAATGAATTGACACCTGTGTATTTATTTGCAAGCAACATGTATTAACATAGCAGCTTGGTTATTGGGAGCAGCTTAGGGCTTGACATACAACTTTCCTGTAAAATATAAAATAAAATGAATAAAAGACAGAACATCTGAGTCTTTAAATTTAGCTTTAGACTACTTTAAACATTATTTTGACTATAGCCTTTTTTTGTTGCTGTTTTTAGTTTAGAGTCAGTCAGCCATCAGTTTTTCTAATACACTTAAAGGACCACAGGTAGTAAAGTGCACAGCAACAACAACAAAAAATAATAATAAAAAAAAATAACAACTTCCATATCTGTATCTATAACTTTGCTTTTTTCTGGGATGCTTTGTCAGATTTTGTGGGCATTTAGAGAGGAAGAGAGAGGTAGAGAAACCTTTTGTGTGTGTGTGTGTGTGTGTGTGTGTGTGTGTGTGTGTGTGTGTGTGTGTGTGTGTGTGAAGAACCCTTGCAAAATTATTTTAAACAGATTAAGAAAGCCACCACTACTGGTCATATCTATGGTTAGATTGATTTTTTTAGATCCAGTGAAGTCTGTCCCACCATGTACCTAATATAAATAAATAAAACATCTTCAGTTAACTAGCAGATCATTCATTTAGTTCGCTATTAAATAAGAAATCCAGCGCTAAAATGTGTTTTTGAACTCAAGCTGCGCGCTCGTTGCCGCGGCGATCAGTTGCATGGATACAGTGCTCTGTGTCTCGCTCTCGCGCATGGTCTCGCGCAGTCTTCACTCGGACGCGCGCTTCAATCTATCGCCGTTGCGGACTCTTATTCATTCCGGTGTAATCACAAAATAAGGGGGGGGGGGGGGGGGGGTTTGCGTTGCATTGATGGTTGCGTTAAATCTTACCCAGATACAATAGTGCTATTTTCTGATTGGCTATTGTGTAGCTCGACGAACAACACCAGAGGAAACGCGCTTGATTCATGCCGGTTCCACAGTGAGAGCGGCGCGGCCAGAGTTTTGGCCGCTGCGGCATATTAAATATATTACAAATAGTTTTTCAGCGTGAGAAATACAATGTGTGGCGGGAGAGCGTGACAAAAGACCGAAATGAGTGACTGTCACGCTCAATGCTTGACACTTGAGAGCCCTGTTGTAGAATTGCCAGACTGGTGAAGCTATTTTTACCAGTGCGTAAAAAAATTGTCTCGCGAGTTTTGCGTCATCTGATCGGCTTTTCTGGATCGGCCTTTATAGAGACCGCCGATCACACATCCCAAAGCAATTATCGGCCGATTATGATCGGCGACCGATCAATCGGAGCACCCTTATTTTATTCATGTATTTAAATATAATTTAAATTGATTTTACACTTAAAGCATTATCGTATTGCATTAAACAAGTTATCACATATTACATTTTTCTTCAATATAGTGCAGCCCTTATAGTAAAAAATAAACTACAAAAATTAAATTATAAAGTAATATATTATATGTATGCATGTATATATATATATATATATATTTTATATGCAATTTTAATGTAATTTATTTCTTTTCATTTTGATGTGAATATTAACCTGTTTATGTTAGATTTTGTGATACACCAGATGAATGGCATATTAAAGACAGCCTAATGCTAATCTCGACGAGTAGTGTTTTAAGGACAGAGAGCTCACACTGTACCTGGAGGGTTTATTTATGGGTGGCAGACTGAGAGAGAAGCAGGCACCATCATGATACGCCTCCAGCAGCCGCTGTCTATCCCCAGAGTCATATACACAGTAATAACTTACACAAAACAAACACAAACACACATCACTGCTGATAAAAGCATGCTTATAGTAGAAAACATTAAGAGGCACCTCTAGTAAAACATTTCCACACATGCACTTACTGTTGCAGAAAACGCTGAATGAGATCCTGGATTTCATTGGAGAAAAAGCAGCTGCCCTGAATTAGTTTTACAGACACATCCAGTCAAAACCTTCATTGACATGCTTCAGGTCAATATAACAGTGCAGACTTCTAGGCTACCTTGCAAGGAGGGATGTTTGTGTGTGTTTCCACGTCAAAGCAGATCGGAAGTGGAAGCACATGACCATCCTATGGAAATAACATTACAAAGAAAACTGCATAAATCACATCATGCAACTGTTAGTGACTACATTTTGATGATAGATTATAAATTTGAGCATTGTTTTTTCTTTGTAAAAAGAACTGATGAATCATGCACATTTTTGATTTTACGTTTGCTTTATTCCAGTCAGGAGAGTGTCTGATGACACTTAATCGGTGTGTGTTCTTTTGGCAGCCAGTCTGGAATCAGGCATCCTGTCCCTGACCAATCAATGATTGACTGACTTAATATCTGACAAACACTTATAACTGCACCGTACATTCAGTCCTGCTAGTTCAAAACATTATTGACAAATAAAAAAAAAGCTTACCAGTCTGTGAAGCCTTGGAAATCGCTCCCGAACAGCACTGCCACGGGAGACAAGAGGAAAACAGTGATGCACCTCATTATTACAGCAGACACACCAAAATCACCTGTGCACTCTCAAGTCATTTATTTCTGTTTATTCTTTATGCAAATACAATGAATGATTGCTGAAATGTGTTTTGATCAAGTGACTAATGAAATAAAAATATTTAGAAACAATAATGATCAGCACCAAAAAATAAATTGTAAATGAAAGCCATGCAAGCGCAGGGAGAAATGACTAACAAGACAATGACACAATCAAACAACCAAAACAAACTTGTCGATTTGTGACGGAAGCTGTGGTTTTATTGATGTGGTTTTTATGAACGCTGACTTGGATGAGTGCATTTCAGAAGCAATGATTGCTGCTGACTTGATTTTTTTATCAGCTTTGGCACTGATGCTTGTGCCCTGATATCCATCAAAAAGCATACCATTGAGAAATAGCCAACGAACTCCAGCAAGCTTCATTCAGCCATGAGAATGAAGTTAGTTGGGAGAGAAACAGTAATAAAGTGAATGGGGAGTCAGCCTTTACACCTGTTCTGACTGTCAAATATCAGCCAATTAAGTGGCCTGATATATCAGTTTATCACCAATTAGGATCAAACTAATTGTTTAAATTAGAGTCCCATAACCTGACCAGGGCAAGTATAATATTAACATTTTTAACTGTATTTATTCTTTTTAGTTCAGTTAGTTTCGCGGAGTTAAAAAAAAATATGAAAATGAAACCAGATAAAAATGGTTTTCACACCGTTTTTGCAAACAAATAAAACTCTCTATATATATATGCATGTATAGTTTTATTTGTTTGCAAAAATAGAACAATGGTGTTTATACGCACACACTTTATTAGTGTACCAGCCAATCACATGGCAGCAGCTCAAAGCATTTAGGCATGTAGAGATGGTCAAGACGATATGCTGAAGTTTAAACTTAGCATCAGAATCGGGAAGAAAGGTGATTTAAGTGACTTTGAACATGGCATGACTGTTGGTGCCAGACGGACTGGTTTGTGTATTTCAGAAATTGATGATCTACTGGGATTTTCATGCACAACCATCTTTAGGGCTTACAGAGAATTGTCATGAGAAAAAGAGAAAATATCCAGTGAGCGGCAGTTCTGAGGGCAAAAATGCCTTGTGTATGCCAGAGGTCAGAGGAGAATGGTCAGACTGGTTCGTGCCGATAGAAAGGCAACAGTAACTCAAACAACCACTCGTTACAACCGAGGTCTGCAGAAGAGCATCTCTGAACGCTCAACACGTCCAACCTTGAAGCAGATGGGCAACAGTGGCAGAACACACACCGGTGCTACCTCCACAGTCTCCAGATCTCCGTCCAGTAGAGCACCTTTGGGATGTGGTGGAACGGGAGATTCACATCATGAATTGCTGCAAATCTGCAGCAACTGCGCAATTCTATCATGACAATATGGACCAAAATACCTGAGGAATATTTCCAGCACACCTTTTTTAATCTATGCCATGAAGAATTAAGGCAGTTCTGAAGGCAAATGGGGGTCCAACGCGATAATAGCAAGGTGTCAGCAAAAGTGGCAGGCGTATATATGTGTGTGTACTCTATGGTTTCCCACTCACAATCTCTAGCATGAGTTTGCCCTCAAGCCATTTTAATACAATAATAGAGTTTGGGTGATGGAACAGCCAACTTTCTTCCATCAAATTCGCTCTTCATTGTCATCATTGCAGGCTGGGGCCGAGTACCACAGCTGTGCCTGCCTTAGGTTGTCCTGTAGACAGAGAGTGCGATCATACCCGTGTTTGACTATCCAGCCTTCCAAATTGGACAAAAACAGCACTCTGATTAGAGCAGGAATACAAGGGGGTGGGAAAAAAACGAATTACTACATTTAGCAAATAAATGTGGACTGATTTCCCTTGAGATGCCAACATACTATTTCCAGTGGATGTCTTGAGAAGGAAGAAAATTGTGTCTTTTCATTTAAATCTTATTCAACTGTCTTGAAACACAACCTACATATTTCTATTATTATATTAAAGAGTAATTTAGTTCTCTGTTATGAAGGTTGGGGTAAACTTCATGTATAACAGATGCTGCAGAAGAGTAAATGTCTCCGTGGAGGGACAAAATGGAGGAATGATTTGGAAAGCCCCAGAAACAACATAGGATGCTGCTGCTGTGGAAGGAACAAGGAAGAGAGAAGGAAGAAAGAAAATCCAACACAAATGAGAGATTGTCAGTCAGTCATACACTTGCACATGTGAATGCACATATACAGGTAGCAGATGAACAGAGTGCCATACAAGACAGACATGCCTTCATTTATTCAGACAAACTCATAATTTGTTCTCAACCACAGTAACTAAATGACAGATACTCCGAAGCGGATGAATTCAACCACAAGCAATGAATTATGAATGTGTGTTCATGTATTAACATCAGCAATTCCAGGTTTTGTATAGTTCAATGTGCCAGGCATATTAGAGGATTAGTTCACCTCAAAATGAAAATTTCCTGATAATTTACTTACCCAAATGCCATCCAAGATGTTCATGTCTTTCTTTCTTCAGTGGAAAAGAAATTCAGTTTTTTGAGGAAAACATTTCAGGATTTTTCTCCACACAATGGACTGAAGTTGAAGTTCAACCAACATGTTTAAGTCCAAATCAATGCAGTTTCAAAGGGCTATGAAGTGCTTCAAACGGCTCTGCACGTTCCCAGCTGAGGAATAGGGTCTTATCTAGTGAAATGATCGGTCATTTTCTAAAAAAAATAAACATTTATATACTTTTTAACCACAATTGTTCGTCTTGTGCTGGTCTGCGACGTGCCAGGGATTACATCATCACGTTGGAAACATCACCGGTCACGTCATCTATCCAAGTTATTTGTCTGTGTACTCCGGTTCAAAAAGGCAGGGGAAGGGCGAAAAATTCCATCTTTGTTTTAATTTATTATTATATATATATATATATATATACATAAATCGTGACGTTTCCAACGTGATGACGTAATCCCTGGCGCATCGCCTACCAGCACAAGACGAACAATTGTGGTTAAAAAGTATATAAAAGTTTTTTTTTTTTTTTTAAATGACCTATCGTTTCGCTAGATAAGACCCTATTCCTCAGTTGGGAACGTGCAGAGCCGTTTGAAACACTTCATAGCCCTTTGAAACTGCATTGATTTGGACTTCAACATGTTGGTTGCGCTTGAAGTCCATTGTGTGGAGAAAAATCCTGAAATGTTTTCGTCAAAAAACTTAATTTCTTTTCCACTGAAAAAAGATAGACATGAACATCTTGGATGGCATTTGGGTGAGTAAATTGGGTGAGTATCAGGAAATTTTCATTTTGAGGTGAACTAATCCTTTAAGTGCAGGCCTCAATGGGGACTGTATGAGGCTATAAATCTGTACTACAATCCTAAATAAGAGTATCCACCTTATTTTTAACGTAAGAGTGTACACGGCCATTTGTAACTTGAATGTGTCTGGCTTCAGGTGTCATTTGCTTTCAGTTTTTTTTTTTGCCTGTACAAAAAAGTCTGTTATGCTGCTTGATATTGCAAACTGGTATTTTCTATCATACTATTTTTTATCATCATAGTCATAAACGTTTACTGCACATTGTTATTCTTCTAGTTATTTCCCTATAGGAGCTAATGAATCAGAAGTCTCGCACATTCACAGAAAATAGCTTACTGCCATGTTGAAAACTTGGATCATCATGGATGTCATTCAGAAATAAAATAATAATTGTAACATTTAAAAAATATATAATATATGCGAGTAATAATTAACTGGTAACATTTTTTGGAGCTTGGCATAACAAAAAAAATTATAATAATTATATTCATTTTAAAAATCCCATGGTGTTTTAAGATTTTAATAATTACCATGACATTTCCAGGTCTATAAATCACACTTTTAAAATTAGACAATCAAGTTTTTCCAAGACCGTGGTAACCCTGGATCTCTGTGAAGGAATTCATCTCGATAGTTACTTAACCAACAGGTCTGCTGTTATGTCTCATAAGGAACCGAGATTTAGTATATCTGTCAGCTAATCATATCAACCTTGACCTTTAACCTCACAGTGTGTGTCCCAGCTCACTGGCACTGACCTGATGTATGAGGTCTGATCTTTGAAGTGATCACACAGAGGGTTCCTGTCCAGCCACAGCTCCACCAGCCTGAACCCCTTCACCACATCCAGCTCTTGTTCTGACTTCAGCTACAGACAGACAGAGAATAAGGTAAAACAGACACTGAAAGTAAATTCTGTGTAGCTTGCAGTTGAGCAAATTGAAGCTAAAGAATTAAGTGGCCTAATAATATAACAAACGTATCTCACTATCGATGTAAATAGAAGAGAGTAATAGCAGCGGCCCGAGCGCCTCTCACCTCATTATGAGACAGGTTCAGTGACTGCAGGTTGGGGGTTTTGTTCACCAGTTCTGCTATGTCATCCAACTTAAACAGCTTGTTGTTGCCCAGGTTCAAGCACAACATCTGTGAAGGATCAAAGAGAGATTGGGACAGAAATAAAATGTTCCTTCAAACTCTAAATGTTTGTTTACATGAAAGCAGGGTTTCCCAAATTGGGTTCCTGAACATAAATGAATGATAGGATACGCTTAACTTTAAATGCAGCTCTGAAGCGGTATTAGAGATAGAGAAGGGCGCTGAGTTTTGACCGTTATTCCGACCTGGGACATTCTTGCGCACTTACTTCCTGTCACATGTACACGCTGTCAAGTGGCCAAGACCACAAGTGTTGGTACTGGACAGGCCCTACTATCATGCATGTGCTAATAAGCTCTGACCCCATATCACTCCGAGACACCTGACAAATGTTTCCTGGAATAAGTGTCTTGAGAGTGACGTATCCACAGCTGTTTATCCTAGAAATATAGCTCAACGTTTCCACCAGCTGGATGTTTTGATTTCCTATTTTTGTCTAGACACTATGGCTGAGCTTGGCTGGATTAGATTTAGTTACTATATTTATACTTCACGGTGGTTAGATGAAGGAAACAGGTTATGAAGCAATGAACACCAGGCCTTTGACACACTTCTTGAAACATCATGGTGAATGTAAAGGATCTTAAAGCTACACTGTCACAAACATTACCCAGTTGAATGCACTTTAAAAGAGAATAATCAGTGGTATTTGCTAAGGCTAGCATCAGAATTACTATTGCTTATATTTCTGGTTAATAATTTGAACAAACCCCAAACACCAAGTCTTACCTCTGGGATATTCTCCTGTATGATTTTGATCACAGCTTGCATGCAGTTTTTTCGGTTTAAGATTATCTCAATATTTTGAGAAACCAAGTCTGGTGAAAAGAAAAGAAAAGTAAAGATCTCATTTCTCATTTTGAAAAGCTCTCAACTCATTTCTGACAAATGGATAACTGTGTTAAAGTCGTCATGAAATCAAATTTTACCATTCGTATTTTTATATGTAATATTGTAGTGTTTATTATAAATGATTTTTCTGTGTACCCTTATAAATTCATGTACCCTTATAATCTTTAATCAAATACGTTACCCTTCCCTCCCCCCTCGAAACGACTTCTCTTCCGGTCAAAAACTATTACTAGAGGGCGTGGCTATTGGGGTCTGTCTCGTTTCTGGCCCGCCTCTCAGAAACCTGTCAGTGTCACTGACAGCCAGCAAATATAGTGTTTAGGTGCATTTTTGGTTGCGCTCCTCACGTCCTCTTTCCTATCCCTAAACAACCTGCGTGCCCGCTGGCTCGAATTCCTGCATTTCGAAGGAGGAGGAATAACGACGAGTTCGCGTCTGTGTGCAAGGGTGAACTTGACTATCAGCCGCCTCATCTTGGTTCGCTCATATAAATATGGGGTGATTCCTTCCGGAAAATTTGGCTGCTCGTCCTCATTCTCATCGTCGGGTTCCTCAATTAAAAATTCTTCATGGGAGGGTAACGGTGGTGAGTCCGGTGGAGAGAAATCCTCCACAACTGAATGTAAACTGGCATTCAAATCTGCCTCCATTTTGTTAGCAACGCCCAACGATCCAATCAATTCCCGAAGGACGAAATCAAGCCCCGCCCTACATTTTTTTCTAATTTCAGAAGCCGTTTCACTCGGATAGACGTCACAATAAGGAAAAAAGGACAATCTCAACTTCCGTTTCATGACGACTTTAATCTTGACTTGGGGAATCTATTGAACTTTTTGGTGCTGTGTCAGGGTTTTGAGCACTCAAACCCTCAGTATAGTTTTACCTGGATCAGAGCGGATGCTGCTCAGGTTGAGAGACTTCTGGGAACTATCGAAGCGTTTGGACATGCAATGCTGCAGAAAAGAATAGCAACAGTTAAAGTTGCCATGAAATCAAAATTGACAATTCTTGTTTTCATGGAATATTATAAATAATTTAACCGTGCACATCTTTTTTTTTTTTCAATTCATGTGCCGTCATAATCTTTAATCAAAATATCTTCCCCTCCCTCTTGCAGCGACTTCTCTTTTCTGATGATGTGTTTACTGGCATGAGGGCGGGACGCCTGTCACCAATGTTTCCTCTATTTTTTTTCTTGCTGAGCAAAACTTTTTTCTATTGGGCAGACATTTTTCGCCACCTGAGCAAAAATATTCTTTATACCTGACCTGTACAGCATACGTAGAAACACAATGGTTTCAACATTCAGTTGAAACTTTTAACTTGAATGTGCCATTTCTATTTTATTTGACCCTTGATGTAACTTATTTGTATTAAATCATATTTTCGAAAAACAAGCTTCTTAACAAATTAAGAGTCACTAAATTAAGCACATTTTAGGTAACCTGATATTTGTTTTACAGTGCTGTTAACTGTACAGTCTTTACCAAGAAATCCTATGAAAAATAATTTACAAAATCTTCTGCAGGACAGTTCAATTCTTTACAATAATAGAATATAGTATGAAAGAAAAGTAAGTTGTTACACCGAGATGGTTTGGGAAAACCATAAAGTGTTTTTGTACAGTCAATTAATTGTGTACAGGAAGCATTAAACCATCAAAGTTAAATTATTGTTTATTGCTTATGAATTTCCAATATTTTCTTTAGCAGGGAGTTTCAAACTTTTTAATGGCAAGGAGCCCTAAACAATACCCTTGTGAGATTCTTTATTTAGGCTTATAATATAATAAAATATAGGCCTAAAATATAATATAACATAAAAAAAACGAATTGAAGTATTTGAAGTGATATAATATATCAGTTTAAATGCTTCAATTTATTTACATATTATATTATTATAATACGAAAACAAACTGAAGCATTTAAATAGATCTAATAGCTAAATATTTTCAAGAAAAGTGAATGTGAACTCTTTTATAATCTAACCATCCCTGAAACTCCCACACACACAAAAACATCTATTTATTTTAAACTAATGATGTATTTTGAATTTGCACGCAGGTAGGTGTGTAATTGTTACCGTTCTGTGTCCATTAACCGTTATTTCCACCACTTTAATCAAACCACTCTTCGTTAAAACATTATGATGTGATTTTATTTCACATGTCTATGCGTTTCTCGTTGCCTCTCGTATTGAGCTATTTGGTCCGCACACACGACTCACTGCCAATCACACGCGCTCACATCGTTCTCTTTCTATGAAACCTGTAAACTGCATTCACCAGTTTTCACTCTATAGCGGTTGACCAGAGCACTGAAATTATTTCTCACTTAAACTACAATCAAATGGATTTCCCCACACATTTCGCGTCAGTCCTCTGCATGGCATTTTATTCTTTTCGCATCAGAAGTGCGCGGCCGCGCACGCGCGCAGCTTGGAGGGAAAATTGCCTGTCACTCACATGAGATCCACCAATAGCAAACCACAACCATCCAATTCCCGATGGACAAAATCAAGTACCGGCCCTACATTTTTTCGAGAAGCCGTTTCACTTGGTTACACGTCACAATAGGGAAGAAAAGACTATCGCAATTTCCATTTCATGCTGACTTTGAATGGAACAGCTGCCACCTGTAGGCCACACATGTCACTGCAGCAAGAAGCAGCTGTAGGTCAAACCTTTAAATGTTCCAGATCTTGTGGTTTCAGTTCACTTTGGAGGAAGGGGAGACTGGAACAATGGCTCATAAGCACGACCACCTGGAGAACAAGAAACATGGAATTCAGGATGCATTAGTACAAGATGAATGTTTTTAAGAACCAATGAAGCAGTACGGTACCCTCTGCCCTTCACTGTCTGTAACTCTGCGTGTGAGTTTGCCCAGAGCGCTGGCAGTGGCAGCATCCTCCAGATAGAAATGAACTGTTTGTCCCTCTGTGGAGTACTAGACAAAAACACAGAGTGACACAACCAGACAAACAAAGATGTGATGCATCAACTGAAAACAATGTATTGGTAATTTGGTGATTTAATAATGTAGGCCACTTTTTACTAGTAAAATCAGACATTTGGCATTATCAGGACCCACAAATATTCCCCCATTGCATTATTATACATTATATTCAACATTATATATATCAACATTATATATAGTAGTTTAATGTAGTACTGACACGAAAACTCTGTAAACTTACATTTTTTCACACAGTAGTTTTTGGGTGAACTATCTACGATACATATTGCCACTATCCAAGATACATATTGTTGCATTTTTGTAATGCGATATATTGTGAAACCCCTAGTATTTAATCTCACTTTATTAACCAATGTCTTTGCTGCTGACCTTCAGAGATCCACTTCAACCATAACAATAAACAAAAATTACTTTTGATAAACATCACATTTGTTTTTTATTTTTTTGAAATTATTTAATGCTGAAGTAAGTGTTGAACATTCTTCTCTCGTATCCTATTCTTCTTCAATTCAGAAAGGTTTTTTTTTATTGCACCCTTTAGTGTACAGGCGTGAATTTGCATTTCTTTCAGCCTGAGGCTTATTTAGTTCACTTTTGGTGTGAAAGGGCCTTTACATGTGCCAAAACTTTTTTGTGTTGTTATTAAAAAGAAACAAGTAAGACTAGCCCAGGCAAGAAAAGTAACGCAAAAGTATTGTAATGCATTGCATTACATTGCATATAACATATAATATTGCATTGCATGCCAGCAGCCATATCACCCTGTAGCCCAAAACTGGTTGCCCACTGAAGCTAAGCAGGGCTGAGCCTGGTTAGTACCTGGATGGGAGACCTCCTGAGAAAACCAGGTTGCTGCTGGAAGAGGTGTTAGTGAGGCCAGCAGGGGGCGCTCACCCTGTGGTCTGTGTGGGTCCTAACGCCCCAGTATAGTGACGGGGACACTATACTGTCGAAGAGCACCGTCCTTCGGATGAGACGTTAAACCGAGGCCCTGACTCCTCTGTGGTCATTAAAAATCCCATGGCACTTCTCGTAAAGAGTAGGGGTGTAACCCCGGTGTCCTGGCCACATTCCACCCATTGGCCCCTGCCAATCATGGCCTCCTAATAATCCCCATCCACTGAATTGGCTCTATCACTCAATCTCCTCTCCAACTATAGCTGGTGTGTGGTGAGCGCACTGGCGCCGTTGTACTGTGGCTGCCGTCGCATTATCAAAGTGGATGCTGCACACTGGTGCTGGTTGAGGAGAGAACCCCTGATATGATTGTAAAGCGCTTTGGGTGTACAGTAGTACATATGAAAGCGCTATATAAATGCCTCATTCATTCATTGCAGTAAAGTAATGTAATGCATTACTTTCCATGAAAAGTAACTAATTAACGGAATTAGTTACTTTTTTAAAGAAGTAACACAATATTGTAATGCATACTTTTAAAAGTAACTTTCCCCAACACTGATTATGCCCTTTTTCAACGTCTTGATTTTGTGGTCTACAAGAATAGATATTCATGCTTGAATGTTCAATGACATTGTTGCAGCTCCTCTCTTCCTATCTTCCTAGTCTGTCAGTAACGCTCTGTTTAGTTCCTGTATCTATGGAGCCCCTCCTTCCAAAAAGTGGAATTATGTGCTTGGATTGGTTGGCTGGACCAGTGTGTTGTGATTGGTCAACTGCATCGAGCCTATTTTGGAAATGTTATGCCCCTTAACAGAACTGTGAGTTTCAACACACTACTAATGCATCTCAACCAGGCTTCGCCCCCTTATTTTCATATGCTTTGGGTTGGATTTATTTAAATGAGCGATATTGGGACACGTACATCCCTGAAGAAAACTCAAGACTACAATGGAGGTGTTTTGGGGAGTTCAGAAACAGTGCGCACAGATATAGAGAATAACTCCCTTTGGAGTAGACTTGTAACTTTGCATACCTTTTTTATGCTCAAACAGCAACATTACACGCTAAAATGTTCAACATTTACCAATACAGTTAAACACAACTGAATTACAAACAGCTCCAGTGACCTCTAGTGGACATACCTTCTAGACTTGTTCAGCATAACTGACCACTTCATTTACGATCACTTACGTGTAATGGAGTAAACGCAATGGGACAGATATTCTGTAGTGATGTTAGCAGCCATCTTTTATCATACTTTTTTCCATGTGGGATCTGTGAAACAAACGTACGAACAACACAGTCATCAAGAGTCTAGATAAATTAATGGCTTTTGGTTGTTAGGTTTAATATCTTATTGTGGATAAATCTGTCTGCTGTGGAGCTTAATACTTAATTTACCACTGGTTAATATGATGTTAACTCTATTGTGATGTTGTAAACACTGATGTTAAAGGACTAGTTTTCTCATCATTTACACACCATCATGTCATTCCAATCCAATTCTACTTTATTTCTTTGTGAAACACAAAAATAGATCATTAGCAGAATTATATAAGGTTTATTTAGGAACACTGTAAAGTTGAAAAAATGATGATGTCTGGGTGAACTATTGCTGAACTCTTACTGTCATTTTGAACCATGTTTTTTCTTCCCTCCCTTTATCCTCTGCTCCGAATCTGCGTGCATTCCTCTCTCCTTTGCTACTGGGACGTCCATATGGATCACTGCAGGAAAAGCATAACATGAGCAGAGAGTTACATGCCAATATGACATACATCCAATCCTTATTTATGAAGCTGAATCATTTGCAACAACACTTACAATCTCTGTTTGGACACCCCATACTGACTACCCATCACAGACACATCAACACAGCCGTTCTGAATCCTGCTGCGGGGTCCCGGCCAAGACGGTCCTGGGGCTCCACCACGATGCTGCAAGTGAACTGGATCATTGTGTAAACTAGGCTTGACGGACGCCCAACTTTGATGGACCCCCAACCAGCGGCCGTCATGATCTGAAACACACACACAAAAAAAAAGGAGGTGAAAAGACATGAAAAAGATACACTCAAGCCACACCAGAACTCATGATGTTTATCTGGAGGAATGGAATATTATTATTCTAGCCATATTTCTGTAGAAGTTAGTTATGTTTTTAGTTAAATTATCTTACTGTTATTCTGCATAAAGTACACGGCAAATAGTATCTAGAATTACTGTATTTGAGAATTATCATGTATTGCATTTTATATGCTTGAGTTAAGTGCATATGCCGAAGAGCTGAACTGAACATGGGCATCGGAACCATTGTATATGGGTGGGACAAGACCCACCCACTTTTTAAGACCAATGATATTGGACCCACTTACTTTTACCGTCTCTAATTCAGCGCATATGTCTGTTCACTTTTCAGAGCGCCGTCAGTCAAATTAAACTCCATTCCGCGTTTTAGCTACAGCGTTGATTTCCATGCTGCTACTCAAATCCATTCCACTTGATACATTCAGAGTCCCACCAAACCCTTACTTTTCAGGCTAGACCAGCCAATGCGCATGTGCTGTCCTAAGTCCGAGTCTCAGGTTCCTATACGAACCGTAGCTTCTAACAACTTGATGCAGTGACTCAATGACTTTACCAATCAGCAATTGGCTCTTTTACTTAGAAGGCGGGACAGTTTCTCCCATTTAGAAGTAATAGGAGTGAACTGTCTTTCTAGTCTTTGATATCTAGCTCAGGTGGGTCTGGCTGTGTGCTCACATACTATCAATAAACAAGCTGGTATTTTAAGTGAATGTTCATTCATAATTTGTTCGCCTGTTGCTTTTAAAGGCATCATGTATTCTTTGTTGCAGCATTGTACTACAGTTACACTTAAACTTTGTTGTTATAGCGCTTACAGTTGTCTGATGTTTTTGCTAGGCTAGATAGCAAGCTACAGTACATCAATCAACCAGTGTTAGCAGCTCTTTGAATCCTGGTCAATGAGAAAAGCTAGTTGTTGTACCAGTGCTATGTGTTGATATTAAATCTAAGGTGCTACTGTATGGTTATCCTCACTGACTAGCAACATTGAAACCCATTATAGAAGGTAATAGATGAAAAAACAAAGTCCTTCTCCATGGCCCTGTCCTGCCTTCGAGGGCAGTCTTACGATGGAGCTGCAAACATGTCCGGCCAAAGCAAAGGAGTTCAGGCAGTGCTCCGAGAGAAGCAACCTCTTGCTTTGTATGTCCACTGATTGTGTCAATCTTATGACTCGGACAGCCTGTGGCTCATCCCCTGTTGTGTCTGATGCACTGAATTTGGTCCACAAACTTGGCACTCTTTATCACCAGTCTGGAAAATACAAGACCATTTTTAAAGAGATTGCCCAGTCTGAAGCAGGGAGTTTCAGAACTCTAAAGTGAAAATCCAGTTCGCGTACCCCGAAGTGATAAAATAAAATTCTGTATCAAATTTATAGGCAAGACAAGTAGTTTGTTTAGGCATGGTTTGTTGGGAAATTACAAACCTGCGCACACATATTCAAACGAATATAACTATAGAATCAATTTTTAATGCGCATGTGAACGCCATCAGGTCACAGGTTCGCGTTTAAAGTCTGTTTAGACTAGAGAGAACGCCGTCGTCTTAGTGGCCCCTAATGTAATAAATGATAATTTTGCTGGAAGTGAATCAATCAAAACCAACTTTAGCTGGAAATAACATTATTCAAAAATCGCTATAAAGCCAAAACAATCTCTGTTACCGTAAATTGTATGTTTATCTCTGTAAAGCTGCTTTGAAACAATCTCCATTGTTAAAAGCGCTATATAAATGAAGATGACTTGACTTGACTAAAGCCCCTCTGCCCTACACGATGGCTTCAGATGATGGGGCCTGTCCAGGCAGTCATAGGACAGTACGAAGAGGTATTGCTTAGTCTGGAAGAAATGGCTGCATCTGGCTCCTCTGACACCTGTACAACCGCAAGAGGACTTCTGGAGCGTTTTCAGAAGGGTCAGACTTTGCTTTGTCTTTTTCTTGCCTCTGAAGCCCTCAAAGAACTAGAGTGCCTCAACCGATCCCTTCAGAGCAAGACTGGAAGTGTCACAGGGATGCTTGCAGCAGTTGACTGTGTGAAAAAAAAACAGTTAAGGTCTGATGAAAGCTTCCATCGGATTTATGCAACGGCCTGTATCATGATCCTTCAGCTTGGCATTGAGACAATCCAGATGCCGCATATCCGGAGACCTCCTCAGCGCTACACAGGAAATCCAGCATCCACCGAAGAGCACTATAGAGTTGAATACTTTAAAGTATTAGACGCTGTTGATGAACAGTTGACCATACGCTTTGCCAGAGCAGCTTCGCTACCCTTAACAAATTGGAAAGTGTGCATGTCGAAGGAAAGATGGAAGATGTTGTCAGTCTTTACCCAGAAATTAACCACCACTCCCTGGAGGTACAGCTGGCAATGTTTAAACTTCAAAATCCATCTAGCACCATCACTGATGCAGTAAACAGTCTCAGAGCTATGCTGCCAGAAGTCCATGCTCTCTACACTCAAGTAGAGTCTTTGGTTAGACGACTTCTTGTAGTGCCATGCTCCTCAGCTTAAGCCGAACGGAGTTTCAGTGCCTTAAGAAAGCTCAAAACATGGCTCCGCTCCACCATGAGTCAACGTCGTCTGAACAGTGTGGGCGTCTGCCACATCCATCAAGACAAACTTGATCAAATTGACATAGGAGAGATTTGCCAGCTCTTTATCTCTGCAAATGATAGTAGAAGGAATGTCTTTGGGGCCTTCATTTAGTCTCAAACCAATGCAATTTGACTTGCAAACACATTTCAACCTAGGCTATATTTAATTGATTACAGTTAAGGATCAGATATTAATAAGATAATAATCCTTTATTAGTCCCCCAGTGGGGATTTTTTTTCAATGTTCAAAGTGTTAAACTTCATTGTTTTTTGTAAAAAATGTGTTCAGTGTGATACATCACCTTTTCTTCTAACAACACGCAGTAAGTGTTTTGTAACTGACACTTTATTGTTGAAGTTAAAGTTTCTTTCTTATTGATAAATTACCTTATGTACTCAGCAGCTACATAATAGATTTCTTTGTCTCACTCTCTCTTGAAGCTGATCCTCAGTGTCCCCGTGCGTATTTGCCGCTCGAACTGTAAAACATTTTTCCACTGCAACTTTGCTGGCTGCGCGTTGTCTTATTTTATTACAACTCTCAACTGTGTGGTTAGAGATGCTCTGTTGTTGTATTTTTTGCTACATAATGCACCACACATTTTCAATAGGAGACAGGTCTGGACTGCAGGCAGGCCAGTCTAGTACCTGAACTCTTTTACTATGAAGCCACACTGTTGTAATGTGCTGAATGAATCTTGGCATTGTCTTGCTGAAATAAGCAGGGCTGTCTCTTAAAAAGACATTGCCTTGATGGCAGCATTATGCAAAAAATTTCTCATGCTATAGCCAGACAAAAGTGTCAAAACACGTTATAAAAACAGACACTTCCAGTTCTTGATTATTATTGGCTGAGCTGTGTTCGATGCCATTGTAATATACTTTGTAACCACACAGTTGAGAGTCGTAATAAAATAAGACAACGCGCAGCCAGCAAAGTTGCAGTGGAAAAATGTTTTACAGTTCGAGCGGCAAATACGCACGGGGACACTGAGGATCAGCTTCGAGAGAGAGTGAGACAAAGAAATCTATCATGTAGCTTATCACATCATACTAAGTTTAAAACATTTAAATAGACATATCAAGAAGTAATTAATGTGGTATATGAATCTTAGTTGATTTGATTATAGGCTATTAGAGCTGGTTTGGTTTGATTTGTGATAACGCTGTGCTTATTCCATTCATTCGAGTATCATATTGTACAAGGCTTAAATCATTTAAATATACGTACAATAATATACGATATCATATCGTAGAACATGTACTGTATGTATGTAGAGTTGATATTACTCTTGCCAAGCTCTGATTTCTGAGAGATGCATGCATAGACGGATCTATGCGCTCTTTTCATTTTTACTCTCACTTATTCACTTCACTCATTATTGCACAGAGACTTTAGATAAGGTATTTGGCTTCGGGAACACCCCTAATCTACTCCAGTAAAAAAATTCTGGAGGATGACCCACCCACATTTGTTTTGCTTCCGACGCCCATGGAACTGAATATATATGCAATTGTACCCATAATAGAATTATTTGGAGTATTTAAAGTATATTTCAAGGCTTAGTTCACCCAAAAATGAAAACTCTGTCATTATTACTCACCCTCATGTCGTTCCAAACCCATAAGACTTTCATTCATCTTCGGAACACAAATGAAGATCTTTTTGATGATATCTGAACGATTTCTGTCCCTTGTGATGGATTTTTTAATGAATCATAATAACTAACATTTATTTTTCTTGCAGGAACAACATTCATATGCTTTTGAATCATTTGCTTTCCAAACCCTTTGGTCGAAAACTCGTGACTTTGAGTGTGTGAGTGTATAAATAACAAATAGGGGAAATGAAATTAGACAGGTGTCTAGATTTGAAAACTTGTGATTAACAATGAAGTTATCAAGAAAAGTTTGCTTCTACTTAGTAACAGAAGGGTTTGCCTATGAAGAACCAATCAAATTGTAGGGAAATTATGTAATGTATCATGTCATTTTCGCCATGCTCCTATTCTATAAAAACTGTTGTTTTCTTTTTGCTGGCGAGATTCTCTCTGAAATTTGTCTGAGATCCTCCGGCCGTGATTAAAGCATATTCAAAGGCATTGTCTGGAGTCTGTCTAGTGTGATAGAAATATCTTATGTAATGGGTATTTTCAACATTAAATATACAGAGAAATGCAGACTATGGATGCTCAGGTCAAAGGCCATATATACTTAACCAAAAAGTGCTTAACACAGTAGAACTAACAGTCATATGATTAGCTTAGATCATTACAAACCAATCACCAGAACAAATCACAGTGAAGAAGACTTGAGTGACTGATTTTAAATGTACATGTATCTTTCTATTCAGGAGACTCACTTGGTTGTTGTGGCCAGTGATCTCCCGGCCGTGGATAAAACTTCATTTCTACAAAGAGCAACCTGGGAGTCGTGTCAGATATTTGCTGCGCAGCTGAGGAATAGAAGTACTAAAGATTCTACAGTGAAAAGACCACCGCAGAGACAGTGATAGTGTTGGAAGACTATAGAGCCGCCCTCGGGTTAGTATTAATGATCCTGTGTCGGAACAGCGTACACCTGAGAAGGACGGTGATAGTGTATAGATGCTTAAGACCTGTGTGCTCATGTGTGATTGAGGTAGTGAGTGATAGTAGCTTCTTGACGGGACGCCCTTACCTTACTTCAGGGAAGTATTGTATTGTATTGTAAGTATTCAGGTAATGCAGGGAAATACCTCGAGATACTGTAGTTATTATTTAAACAACTTCCAGTTTCAAACTTCCAACTTCCTTTTTATTTGTCGGTGGTGAAGAAGTCAGATTTAGTAGGTTGTATTAAGAATTTCCACAACACTAGTTAAAGGAACACTCCACCGTTTTTTGAAATAGGGCTAATTCACCATCTTTCCTAAATTTAGATAGGTGGGCAAATGCATTTTTGTCTCGGTGCATGCATTGTTTTAGTTTGGCAGCGCCGCTGCTAGCTTAGCTTACCATAATGAATGGAATCCTTTGTTGCCAGCCAGCATGTTGGGAGTAAAAGTGATTAAAAAAAAAAACGTATTACTTCTAGTGGCCTATTCACAACGAGTACAAATAGCAATGCAGATTAAGACTAGGCGATTTCCTAGACAGATATTGACTCTGTTTGGGACTATATAGGGGTAAAGCACAGGCGAAACACTGCTACTTGGGAGCAGAGATATGTTGACGGAAGTTGGGGATTTTCAGTTGTTGCGTGATATCTCTGCGCCCAAGTAGCAGTGCTTCGCCTATGCTTCACCCCAATATAGTCCCCCAAGTCAATATCTGCCTAGGAGTAATCACTTTTACTCACGACATGCTAGCTGGCAACAAAGGATTCCATTCAAAAATGCTAAGCTAAGCTAGCGGCGGCGCTGCCAAACTAAAACAATGCATGCACTGTAGGAAATGTAAGTAAGTACGGTAAGTAAGCCCCATTTCAAAAAACGGTGGAGTGTTCCTTTAATGCTGCGCAGCAAGTTAGTTAGGGAAGCTTACTAGACACTTTGATAGTGTTATAGTAAAAAGGACGAGACGTCGTCCAACACGAAGCCAGTTGTCGACTGTAGACGCAGGCTAGAATATAAAGATTATTAAGTGTCGACTGTAGACGCTTGGGTGTCGATTGGAGATGCCCCAGATATAGATATTAAGTGTTGACTGTAGATGCTTGGGTGTCGATTGGAGACGAACCAGGTAAATATTATTAAGTGTCGACTGTAGACGCTTGGGGACGAACCAGGTAAATATTATTAAGTGTTGAATGTAGATGCTTGGGTGTCGATTGGAGACGAACCAGGTAAATATTATTAAGTGTCGACTGTAGACGCTTGGGTGTCGATTGGAGACGAACCAGGTAAATATTATTAAGTGTCGACTGTAGACGCTTGGGTGTCGATTGGAGATGAACCAGGTAAATATTATTAAGTGTCGACTGTAGACGCTTGGGTGTCGATTGGAGACGAACCAGGTAAATATTATTAAGTGTCGACTGTAGACGCTTGGGTGTCGATTGGAGACAAACCAGGTAAATATTATTAAGTGTCGACTGTAGACGCTTGGGTGTCGATTGGAGACGAACCAGGTAAATATTATTAAGTGTCGACTGTAGACGCTTGGGTGTCGATTGGAGACGAACCAGGTAAATATTATTAAGTGTCGACTGTAGACGCTTGGGTGTCGATTGGAGACGAACCAGGTAAATATTATTAAGTGTCGACTGTAGACGCTTGGGTGTCGATTGGAGACGAACCAGGTAAATATTATTAAGTGTCGACTGTAGACGCTTGGGTGTCGATTGGAGACGAACCAGGTAAATATTATTAAGTGTCGAATGTAGATGCTTGGGTGTCGATTGGAGACGAACCAGGTAAATATTATTAAGTGTCGACTGTAGATGCTTGGGTGTCGATTGGAGACGAACCAGGTAAATATTATTAAGTGTCGACTGTGGACGCTTGGGTGTCGATTGGAGACGAACCAGGTAAATATTATTAAGTGTCGACTGTAGACGCTTGGGTGTCGATTGGAGACGAACCAGGTAAATATTATTAAGTGTCGACTGTAGAAGCTTGGGTGTCGATTGGAGACGAACCAGGTAAATATTATTAAGTGTCGACTGTAGACGCTTGGGTGTCGATTGGAGACGAAACCAGGTAAATATTATTAAGTGTCGACTGTAGACGCTTGGGTGTCGATTGGAGACGAACCAGGTAAATATTATTAAGTGTCGACTGTAGACGCTTGGGTGTCGATTGGAGACGAACCAGGTAAATATTATTAAGTGTCGACTGTAGACGCTTGGGGACGAACCAGGTAAATATTATTAAGTGTTGAATGTAGATGCTTGGGTGTCGATTGGAGACGAACCAGGTAAATATTATTAAGTGTCGACTGTAGACGCTTGGGTGTCGATTGGAGACGAACCAGGTAAATATTATTAAGTGTCGACTGTAGACGCTTGGGTGTCGATTGGAGACGAACCAGGTAAATATTATTAAGTGTCGACTGTAGACGCTTGGGTGTCGATTGGAGACGAACCAGGTAAATATTATTAAGTGTCGACTGTAGACGCTTGGGTGTCGATTGGAGACGAACCAGGTAAATATTATTAAGTGTCGAATGTAGATGCTTGGGTGTCGATTGGAGACGAACCAGGTAAATATTATTAAGTGTCGACTGTAGATGCTTGGGTGTCGATTGGAGACGAACCAGGTAAATATTATTAAGTGTCGACTGTAGACGCTTGGGTGTCGATTGGAGACGAACCAGGTAAATATTATTAAGTGTCGACTGTAGACGCTTGGGTGTCGATTGGAGACGAACCAGGTAAATATTATTAAGTGTCGACTGTAGATGCTTGGGTGTCGATTGGAGACGAACCAGGTAAATATTATTAAGTGTCGACTGTAGATGCTTGGGTGTCGATTGGAGACGAACCAGGTAAATATGATTAAGTGTTGAATGTAGATGCTTGGGTGTCGATTGGAGACGAACCAGGTAAATATGATTAAGTGTCGACTGTAGACGCTTGGGTGTCGATTGGAGACGAACCAGGTAAATATTATTAAGTGTCGACTGTAGACGCTTGGGTGTCGATTGGAGACGAACCAGGTAAATATTATTAAGTGTCGACTGTAGACGCTTGGGTGTCGATTGGAGACGAACCAGGTAAATATTATTAAGTGTCGACTGTAGACGCTTGGGGACGAACCAGGTAAATATTATTAAGTGTTGAATGTAGATGCTTGGGTGTCGATTGGAGACGAACCAGGTAAATATTATTAAGTGTCGACTGTAGACGCTTGGGTGTCGATTGGAGACGAACCAGGTAAATATTATTAAGTGTCGACTGTAGACGCTTGGGTGTCGATTGGAGACGAACCAGGTAAATATTATTAAGTGTCGACTGTAGACGCTTGGGTGTCGATTGGAGACGAACCAGGTAAATATTATTAAGTGTCGACTGTAGACGCTTGGGTGTCGATTGGAGACGAACCAGGTAAATATTATTAAGTGTCGACTGTAGACGCTTGGGTGTCGATTGGAGACGAACCAGGTAAATATTATTAAGTGTCGACTGTAGACGCTTGGGTGTCGATTGGAGACGAACCAGGTAAATATTATTAAGTGTCGACTGTAGGCGCTTGGGTGTCGATTGGAGACGACCCAGGTAATTAGGAGTTAGGTGCATAAGAAGAAAAATCTACCACACCCTCCCTTGGCAGCTACACAACTATACTTTGACACTTTAAAAAGTTCATAAAAAGTGGTTGTATGAATTGAGCGGTTTAGTCAAATTTCTGTAGACATGATCGGTTTATATGATGAACAGATTGAATTTATGCTTTTATTCACATATAAGCATTGATCAGAGAACAGAAGCTCAACCGAAACTGCTTGATGCACGAGAACAAACCTCATTGGTTCTTGCAGAGGCTCAAATGTGCTGCGTAACACATGGGAATAAACCACATTGGTTCTCACTCGTCAGACAAACATGGTTGAGCTTCTGTTTACCATAACTGAGTTGATGAATGTTAAAAAATAAAAATAAAATGAAAGCCTAAATTCAATCTGTTCATCCTATTAAGCGATCGAGTCTCTTCAGAAAATGTGGACTGAACTGCTCAATTCATACAGTATGGATTAGTTTTACAATCTCTTTATGAACTTTTTGAAGTGTCAAATTGGTAGTTGTGTAGCTGTCAATGGAGGGACAGAAAGCTCTCAGATTTGATCAAAAAGATCTTTATTTGTGTTACGAAGATGAATGAAAGTCTTATGGGTTTGGAACGACATGAGGGTGAGTAATGACCGAATTTTAATTTTTGGGTGAACTAACCATCCCTTTAAAGTAAATATATTGTAAATACTTGTAAATAAATAACTACCGTATATGGGTCCAAATGTATATTCAGTTCAGCTCTAAATAGCAGCAGGTTCAGTTTTACCTGTAAATGAGCTGCCAGTGTTCCACACCTCTCTCATCACAGCAGAGCCACTCGAATCTAAAGTGAATTGGAGGGAAAGATTCAAGCAGAGGCAGATTGTTGTTGTTGTTCATGAACTTAACTTACTGCTGTGTGCCCGAGCAGCTTCTGATATAACAAAACTACAAAACAACCGTTTAATAAGAATAAAATGATTATTTAAAAAGAAAACCCATGGGGAATATGCAAAGAGCTCAAAACGAACAGTAGAATACGATTAATTGCATCTAAAATACATCATTTCGTTTTTAAAAGTTAATGAAACCTACTATTCCAAAAATGCACTGACATTCACATTTCTCAGCGCCAATTTAACAGTGCATTATTAATAAACTTATATGATTGTAATATTTAAATATAATTCATAACATACAATTATATAAACATAATATACATACAAATACATGTTATATTAATGGAAGATTTTTTTAGTTAATTGACAATCCAACATTAACAATGTAAGTAATATAACATTTGTTTTAAAATTCAAATTTTTGATGCAAAGCAACTACATGGCCAGAAACACGTTACACACGGTCCTACATGTAATCTAACTTCAAAATGTATTCTAACAGTTTAAAACCTGCACATGTTACGTTATCCTGTTTAAAAGATTGGGTTTAATTTGACACAGATTCACCATGAATGTGCAGGATTTGCAAAGAACAGTAACTTACGGCCTCTTAATAGGAGAGGTGCTTCACCTTTTGCACCAAAATAACCAACGTTGACGTGTTAAAGTTAGTAATATAAAAACGCGATAAAAATGTAAAGATGAGCAGCTGACCATGATCAAACCTGTCAATCACTGCCTTAATCAATACCATGCAGAGTGCAACTTCGATTTGGTAGGCTACTGTAGTTTAACAAGACATCAAACCATATCGGTTCATATAAAAACTTAAATCATGATCATTTTGGTACCTGAGGAGCTGGAGCAAACCCGTGTTATCATCACAGAGAGGTTGGGGTACAATTCCCGATGTCGTGTCATCGTGAACCGACTCAATTTCGTATAATTGCGCGCGACCGCGTGCACTGCTCTCACCGATGCACGTGGACTCTGTGCAAATGTACTGCTTCATCTTGCTTCGAAAACATGTGCGTGGCAGCGTGCATATTTAACAGGCAAGAGCAAAAATATATCGTCTTGCAAGGATCTATACCATCAGTTTTACGCATTGAGATTTTAAAAAAAAAGCGTTTAATTTTTTTTACTCGATTTTATTTTTTGTTGTGGGTTATTGCTAGGGTGTTGCTATGTGGTTGCTAAGGTGTTCTGGTTTTTCTTTGTGGCATTAGAACTTAGTATTTAGTGTTACTATGCAGTTGCTGAGGTGTTGTGGTTGCTTATCCAAGTCAAAATGGTCTCAATGCAAGTCTCTGTGTAATTGTATATGGCTCTGGTCCCTCTTTCAAAGTAAATAGCCTATGCTTGTGAAAATCATAAGCCTAATTGCTTGGAAAATTAATAACTCATCTCTCCCCAACAATCTACGAATTTTAAGGTATTATGCATGTCCATATCATGTGGCAAGGTAACACACTCATATGTATGGAGCCACTAAAGGGGCATTGTGGTGGAAAAAAATATGGAATGGGAGGAATAAATATTTTTCAAAGCTTTGTGTTCTCTCTCAAAACTTTTGGGTTCTCTCACAAAGAATATTCTCTAGCTGGACAATTAACAGGAAGTGTTTATCCAAACCTTTTTTTACAGTCTATGATCCGAACTCACAACAAGTTTTCCGAGAGAATGCAGTTTGCAAAAGTTTTGCGAGAAAACTCAACGTCAAACTTTTTTTTTCTTCCCATCCCATATTTTATCCATTAGCTGTGAATCAAACCAAAGCAATACACAAGTAGAACCAACTATAGTATATAAAACATTTAATAGAAAAATCTTTTTAAAAAACACAAAAAAAACAGTAACATGCTTTACACAAGAACATTTGCAACGACCATAGCAACAGAAGTGCTTCATTAATACTATTAAAGGGACAGTTCACCCAAAAATGAAAATTCTGTTATCATTTACTCACCCTCAGGTTGTTCCAACCCTGTATGAGTTTCTTTCTTCTGTTGAACACAAAAGATGATATTTTGAAGAATGTTGGTAATTAAATAGTTCATGGTCCCCATTACATCGTATTATTTATTTTTTTCCCTATGGAAGTCAGTGGCTACCGTCAACTGTCTGGTTACCGACATTCTTCAAAATATCATCTTCTGTGTTCAGCAGATGAAAGAAACTCAAACAGGTTTGGAACAACTTGAGGGTGAGTAAATGTTGACAGAATTTTCATTTTTGGGTGAACGATCCCTTTAACTGTTTAAAGCTTTATAGACCTGACATGTCCTAAAAACAGTTTGGTTGTCTATTGTTGGATCCAAAGTGAAATCATTTGTCTTTTTGGTGTCATTTACTGGAGTTAATGTGAGGTCACTATCAAAGTGGTTCCTCTTGGCTTTGCTCCCCTGCTTGCTTGATGGCTTCCTTCAGCAGAGAGATGAGGGAGGTCAATCCGATAAGGTACCCGTCCTCCCTGTTTCCCTCCACCCATGGAACATCATGCCTCAGCTGGACATCCTCTGGGGTTGGGATGGTCTTTCCAAAATCTATCATCCATATGTTTGCTTTGCCGCTGCAGTCGTGGACGAAAAGTAAAGAGCTGCCTATGATCTGTGAGAAGTTGAGATGTTTATTCAGAGGCAGAGAGGTAACAAAATTCCCATAAATTGTGTTTTGAGATGAAAAATGGAGCTGTTCAGTTGTGAGGTAATTCGTAGGCCAAACTCTGGTTCCAATTGAGTGAAATTAGCTGTGATCCGTCAAACACAAAACCCACATCCTTTGCCAAATATTTGGCCATTTTTTGATTTTTTTTTTTTAAATATGCAGATTTAAATTTCATGCTTGAGGTATAATTGTGTCCAATATATGTTGTAGAGCAAAACGTGATAGGTCTTATTTTACTCATGAATCAAAATTTGCCATTTTAAAATCAACACGAAACTCCATGGCTTGAAATACCAATTCTCTTCTGGTTTTTAAAGCTTCAAAGTGAACAGCTCTATAATGTAGTGTATAAGAAAACTGAGACAAGTTTAACGTTTTGCAATAACCTCGTGTTTGTAGAAAAAGGTTGACTCCTTTAGTGCTTCGCTCAGTGCCTGTAATCTGGATCCGTAGGCCTCCTGAGATACACAAAGTGACAAGTGAAGAATATTTTGATATATTTGGGATGAACTGCAATTAGATTATATATATATATATATATATATATATATATATTCTACACCAAATATGCCTACTTAACAATATAATTGAAAAATATATATATATATATATATATATATATATATATTTCAATTATATTGTTAAGTAGGCATATTTGGTGTAGAATAATAGAAAAAGTTATATGGGACAAAAACATACAAAAACAGTGCTTAAATTCAACATGAATCCCCATTCACAACCCAATTTCTTAAAATTGAAGTATTCAGAGTGAAACAAGATATGTGAACATAAAATGTAAGGTGGGATTAGTTTTTACCTAGTAGGAACCAATAAGTGTTTAATTTATTGGTAAAATAAGAGAGCTTGTTGATGTCAGCCAGAAAAGAAAATCGTTTCAGAAATGAAGCTAGTGAATGTTGACTTGTTTTTATATGTGTGTGTGAGTTTTTATGTCCACTTACTAGAATGTGAACCTGGCTCCTGGTGAAGGATAGCAGGGTTTCTGTCACTTGAGCCTCTGTGCGTGTTTTGTAAAAGTCTCGTAACACTTTACCATTCCCAATCTGAAAAACAAAACAAACAAAAAAACAGTGAAATATCTAAATAAATGATCATACAGTGTCTCTCTGTATTTTAGCCTCATGTTTCATACCACTATGCCTTCTATGCGGAAGCCCAGTGATGAGGTGGAACTGCTGTCATCCCTCCACTGTAGGTAACGCAGCTTTGTTACTCCTCTCTGTTCGTGTTCTTCTGCAGTGGGAGCTGCCGGATCCACTTTCACCATCTTTTGATACATATCAGAGCGTACGCTGGCGTTGGTCCTGGCCTTATTGATCTCCTCCTCTTGGTATGTCCTGCAAGTAATGCCATAGATTCTAGATTGTACTGCATTATTGTTAAAATATAGTGTGATTATAAGGTCAATGAAGAGAAGAGTAGCAAACTAAAATGGTATTTTGGACACATAGGTTATATTAAAAACTAGTGATTCATCAAAATGGATGTTTTCAAATCGCTGAAAACCAAAACCGAATATAAAGTTACATTTGGGTAATTGGGTAACTAAAGTTGGTACTCTGTTCAGGGTGTCGTGTTCTCAGGTAATACATTAAACCAGTCATAGTACAGTTCTTTAAAGGGATACTCCACTTTTTTTGGAAATAGGCTCATTTTACAACTCCCCCAGAGTTACCGTTTTTGAATCCATTCAGCCGATCTCCGGTTCTGGCGGTACCACTTTTAGCATAGCTTAGCATACATCATTGAAGTGGACAAGACCATTAGCATTTCTAAAAAAAAATGACCAAAGAGTTTCGATATTTTTCTTATTTAAAACTTGACTCTTCTGTAGTTACATCGTGCACTAAGACCGACGGAAAATGCAAAGTTGCTATTTTCAGGCGTTGCGTCATATCATTACGCCTGCTGCTCTCATGGTACGGCAGTAAAGTTTCTTGATTATTACGCAGGAATGAGAGTATAGTTCCTAGCCATATCAGCCAAGAAAATCGCAACTTTACATTTTCCGTCGGTCTTAGTGCACGATGTACAGAAGAGTCAAGTTTTAAATAAGAAAAATATCGAAACTCTTTGGTCATTTTTTTTTTTAGAAATGCTAATGGTCTTGTCCACTTCAATGATGTATGCTATAAGCTATGCTAAAAGTGGTACCGCCAGAACCGGAGATCGGCTGAATGGATTCAAAAACGGTAAAACTCAACAGTTTAACTCTGGGGGAGTTGTAAAATGAGCCTATTTCCAAAAAAAGTGGAGTGTCCCTTTAACAAGACGCCTCTCGATATTTCAGCCTAAATATTTTTACATATTGCTACTTTGGCATTCTTTTTGGTCCAAATGAAGTGTGTCCACACTTCTGACTTGTTTACCTGTTGTATCTTGTCCACATTAAGTGTACGACATGGTCAAAGCAAATCATCAGAGAAGTGCTAATTAAATGTCACAGTTTCTCTCAATGGTTTCGGCCCTCCAAAACTCTTTCAGCCATAACTGAAAAGGTATACAGTATTGTGCAAAAGTCAGGCACGTTACTGTTTTAAACCAGTTATGTATGTCTTTTGCTGTAGTGTGTCAGTAGGAAATATCAGTTTACATTTCCAAACATTAATTTTGCCATTAATTGTAATTATCCAGTGAGATTTTAGTATGCACAATGAGTCTAACAACAGCCGCTATGCTCCACATGGAGATCTGATCTCACCATCATCGAGGCTGTCTGGAATTACATGAAGAAACAGAAAAACGGAGACAGACTAAATCCAGAAGAACTGTGGCAAAGTCTCCAAAACGTTTAAAGAAACCTTCCAAAGATACCTGAAAAGCGATGTGAAAGTGTATCTGGACAAAAGCAGTTTTAAATGCAAAGGGTGCTCACACCAAATATTGATTTGATTTAGTTATTAGAAGTTAATTGATAAATAAAATCTATTTATAACATTATTTTTGGAAGCATCCTCACTTTACAGCATTTTTAGACAAGTGCCTATAACTTTTCACAGGACTGTCTTTGCAGGAAGGTTTCTTCAAGCACCTTGGAGACGTTGCCACAGTTCTTCTGGATTTAGTCTGTCTCAGTTTTTTCTGTTTCTTCATGTAATCACAGATAAACTCGATGATGGTGAGATCAGATCTCTGTGGGGAATATACTGGCTGTTGTCAGACTCCTTGTGCATACAAAAATCTCACTGGATTATTACAATTAATGGCCAAATTAATGTTTTGAAATGTAAACTGATATTTCTGAAATACAGCAAAAGATATAAATAACTGGCTTAAAACCATTTTCTTGGGGTGAAAATACTAACGTGCCTAAGACTTTTGCACAGTACTGTAAATGTCTTTGCCGATCCAGTTGCTGAATAGTTTTAGTTGCTGAAAACATCACTAATCAGAACTTTTGTGCAACATTGATTTTCATTCTTGCATGCATTAGTATTTTATAAAACATTGTCTCTCACTTTGAGGTACTCAACTGTACATTGTGGCTTAAGGTAACAAGACAAATTAACGTTAGTTCCCTTCCTACCGGACACCCATTTTGCAGTCCATGATGACCGGATGTTTGAGCCCACTAAGCAGGTCCTCTAGACGGATGTATCTCTCTCCGTCCTGACTGATGTGCCCAAAATAATGTGGCACGAACTGACAGAGTGCATCAGACATGAGGGCCTGCAGACAGACATCTTCCACCTTGCAAAACCTCTTCAGCACCTCCCCACCCTCACTCAGCCTTACATTACCTAGAGAAACCACACAAAACACATTTTGTCTACAAAATTCAGCTTAGTTCAAAAGTATTGTTCAAACCCATTTTATTTAACATGATGTTTTTTAATAGAAAAGGGTGAGGGTCAAAATGTGGTGTCCTTTAGAAAAGCCTGAACTACGTACCTTGGTGACCAGCTAGCTGGATCCATGAGCTTTGTGTACGTTTGGACCACTGCATCATGGTCAAAAATGTTCTCCAAGATCGACACTGGGAAAAATGGGGTCATTTAGTGACAGTACCTTAAAAACCATTTTCTGTGTTATTATTTTCTAACATTGTTCATAAAATTGCATGCTTCTTTAACCTTGAAGGGTTTATTGTTATACCCTACCAATGGTGAAACAGTTCAAACCCATATGTTACTCACTACTTGATGCATTATGGAGTATATTGCATGTTTTAGTATGACATTTAAAGAATTTGTTTTGGGATTATTGCAAATGTGACGGCAACCTGCTACTTTCTGTCTACAGGACTATGCAAATAACTTATTCAAATACGTTGAGTTATGGTCCATGCAAATTGTCTAACACATTTCAGTGCACACAAAAAATATTGTCCTTTTCAGTTGGTCCACAGTTCATACTGAACCTGACACCAGTTTATCTGATCCATGAGAGATTCTGCAGAATCAAGATAAACTGCTTTGTGCTTTCTAAGCTTTCCCAGACTTCCACTCACCTTCTTCATCGTCTGCCTCCTGGCGGCTGTATCCTCACTCTCGCTGAAGACTTCATCACTTTCTGCTGAGGAGTTGTTGAATGAAGAGGAGGATGAAGCAGAGGAGGAGTGAAGGAGAACCCGAGAGAGAACAGGGTGGGAAACTAATTCTTCCTCACCAACTTTCTTCATGCTTCCCTGCGTATAATGATCTCCATCCCGTGATGACCCAAACGTTTGTGCGTTTCTCTGTTTTAAGCCCCAGCTCTTCTTCCTGTGCACTCGTTTGTTGTTGAATTCTCCCTCGTTACTCTCATCGATACTCTCCAGACCTCCTCCCAGCCTTTCCCGCACCCCTTCCTTCAGAACCATCTCACCTCTCCACAGGCTTTTCCTAGTTGCTGCATTCAGTGCCACTTTTGAACCCTCTTCAACAAGATTTTCACTAGCCATCACCCTCTCTTTCACTCTCTGCTCTTCCACGTCCTCGTCCTTGGTCATTTCTCCAGCAGGTATTGGTGGGGGATCCACACATACATATTCCAGAGGTTCTGGTTTCATGTCCTCCGTTTCCTCACATGCATTTATCTGAGTTCCAGATGGCTCTTCTAACTTGGAAGAAAGGACGGCGTGAGCGGCAGCCAGTTTAGGTCTGGCTCTGAAGACTGTGTTCTTGTTATGATGACTTTGATTGTTCAAGGATGGTGAGAAATCAAACATCGTGTCTTCTACGGCATCTCTCATGCTCTCCTCATCCCTTCCATTGCTTTTCTTTTCTGACAATGTGCTCATTCTTTCTGGAGTAGAATCCAAGTCTTTCATAAAGCCGCTAAGATGGAAATTCTCATCAGAAACGGACGAAACTCGTGTTTTGTTATTTTGAGCTCTAGAGAAAGAGAATCTGGGGGGATGAAGAAAATCATTATTTGATAAATCATAATAGAATACCTAAAGAAGACAGATGAATAGGCAGATAACAAATTACAATATTCATCTTATCAATAAACTATTGTTGTTTAAAGAGGCACATCATGTGAAGATTTCCTTGACATATATAAAGCTACAAAATACTAGAGCAAGATTTATCTGCCCAGGAAATAGCACACATATGCTAAGTGGCACAAAGTTCAAAACAATTACTTGTAGGGGGAAAAAAGGCACCAACTCCCACGTACCCGATTTGCCAATCTTTCATCACTCCTGTGTGTCAAGTTGAACCATCCAGCAGTTCAGCATCAAAGACTCAATGCCAGTTCAAAGTCTTGCTGTCAACGGTTTCCAGCAGTGATTTGCATAATGTGACATCACGGTTTTCCACAACATTTTTGACAAGGAGCTCTTTTGGAGGTTGTACTGAGGGCTGACCCACACTTTTTAGTGTTGAGCAGTGACTGACTCTTGCCATCGCGTCATGATGCATTTCCATTTGGTAGATACTTGCTTGTTTTATCAGAATGCACATTTCCTGGGAATTGAACACATGCCTTTGGTGTAGTTGGCACCATGCTCTGTCTATCATCTACCATAAACTACAGATTCTATTACTTGTTTTGTACATCTTGCTCCAAATTTTCATTTTGAGTTGTTTTGTAATTCTCATTAAATTCTATTATAATACAGTATGTTTTTTTTATATGTAAAATCAGTGTAAATTAAAGACAGTATACCATGATGTACAAATACTTCAACATTTTATTTTTTTACATTCAATTTGAAGTTTTTTTTTCACTTAAAAATGTAAGTTTTTTCTTTTTTTTTACATTCAAAGTCATAATTATAAATGTCACATGTCCACAAATAACCTTCAGTAAAGTCATATCCTCAGCTCTTTCTGCTGTCACAACCAATAGATATTTCTCTGGTTGTCTGTGTTTCCAAAAGAAATGCATGTAAATTAATGCAAATTAATAATGTCATTTTCCAGACATACGCCACAACCAAATGCCATTTTTCCCCCTTGGGCTATTTATTGACACAGTCTCGCTGTTTTCAGTGCTGTAGTTGTTGTTGTTATTATTATTATATTATATTCCACAACAAAGGATACTTCTGGAACGGTTAGTTTGGATATAGGTTATACTTGAGAAATAATAAATGGTGGTGATAGAATTGTGCTTGTCTTGATTACTTTTGAAATAATGACAAGCGATTATTTCAGGCTAGCATATGTTCATATATTTTAAACAAGGAAATGGTTACCAAATATGAAGTCAACTTGGTGGCCTTTGCTTTTCATAACATTTACCCTCATTTAGAAGATGGCTCCATTCCTTCTCTAGAAGCTTGTACAGACACCAACACGATCATTTTTATCTATGGTGTCTGTTAATGCTTGAGAAGTTTGTATCATGCCCTGTGATAAATGCCTGTGCCTCAAAATCATTTCTCCATCCCCAGCCTCACAGATGGGTTCATCTTCAGCAAGTTCTCTGGAGTCTTCACTCTCGTCCACCCCCACGTCTGGAATGGATTCTTCCAACTCCACAGAATTGCACTCCATGGTGTCAACATTTTCCATAAAAATTGAGGAATCCAACAAGTCTTTTGTAGAGGCTGTTCACAGAATTAGATCAACCCACAGTCAAGAAAGGTTCGAAATGGCATGAATGAACCACATTTATCTGCTAGCCTTTCATATTTAGATGCTTTATTGATTTGAATGTGCATTGATCTCATTTATTTTCATTTCACTCAAGAGTTATTGTAATCTATAGATGAACTATCCATTTAAATGACTGTATATGATTTCAAGTATACAATATATATTTTTTTAAATCTATAGGATTTTACCCTTTTTTATTACAGCAGTTGCAATTGTACATGAGCTTCACCTGGTGCATTTCTTTCATCCTGGGGTTCAAACTGATCATCCAGGTCATCTTGTTCATTCCTTTCCTCTTCTTGCAAACCAGTCTGAAGCAAAGAGAAAACTGTGTGAAAAGTGGATGGATGGCCAGCCTGGATAAATAGATTGGATGGATGGATAGCCTGAATGGATGGATAGGTTGGATGGATCGCTAGATACGATAGAGAGCATGGGTGGATGAATGAATGGATAGCTTGGATGGATGGGTGGATGAATGGACGAATGAGTGGATAGCTTAAATGGATGGATAGATAAGATAGAAAGCAAGCATGGATGGATGGATGGATAGCCTGGATGATAAGATAGATAGATAGCCTGGGTAGATTGGATGGATGGATGTATAGATGGATAGATATTTTAGAGCAGCGCACCTTTCCAGGTATCCTGCGACTACCCAGATTAAACTGCAGGAAACTGAGAATGGTGATCAAACTGAGGAAACTAAAGTTACTCATCACTCCGATCAGTGCTGTTGTCAGGGGGAAGTTATACAGCAGGTACCTGTGAAGATCAGAGAGAGATGCCTGGATGAAGAATGTTAGGATTTTATTGAAGCAACTAAGTAAATATACAGGAATACACAAACCTGATGCCTGTAAAGTGAGCGAAGATGTAGAGACGCGCCTTGTAGATCTGAACATTCTGGGAATGGATCTCAATGAAAGCTCCAACAATGGGTTTGTACTGAACAGAGAAAAGAGACAACTGTACTGAGTACTGGGTTTGTTCCACATTTCCTCTCTTAATATAGCTTATTTCCTCTCTTAATATTCAGTTTATTTTGTGAAGAAAATGTGAAGTTGTTGTGTATATACTAAAATCTGCTGCACAATGTGTTGTCTTGTGTTCCAGTGCGTTGCTAGGGTGTTCTGAGTTGTTTTAGTAAGTTGCTATGCAGTTGCTAGGGTTTTCAGAATCATCACTCACAGAATTATCTTTGAATTCAGAGTACAGTTCCACTACGATTGACTGCTTCTGCTCAGATGCTCCTGTTAACAGCATGGGGGAGAAGACCACTGTGCCCAGAGCCTGAAGAAGAGAGGAGCGATAATGGAGCATCGCCTGAGAGATAGAGAGAGAAAGATGAAACCACAGCTGGAGCATTGTGAAACAGGATCTTCTAAATGGGGTCAGAAAGCTCGCGAAGCTCGTCTTGGAGAACCTATATTTTGCAACAGTTGCTGTTGCAAAACAGTTAATGGGCCCCTTTGACTTCCATATTATTATTTTTTTCATACTATGGAGGTCAATGTTGTCTATCAACTGTTTGGTTACCGACATTCTGCAAAATATCTTCTTTTGTGTTCAGCAGAAGAAAGAAATTCATACAGGTTTGGAACAACTTGAGGGTGAGTAAATGATGGCAGAATTACATTTTTTGGGTGAACATTTAATCTCTCTCTGTCTAATAACTGCATTAGTCTGCTATCAATGGCTCAAGTCTCCGTTATATGTTTTGGAATTAGCAACGGAGGCATGGGATAAGATGCATAAGAAATTAGTCCAACAAACAAGAGCGTTTTAAGGACAAAAACCTGACAAATCTCTTGAAATATAACACATGAACAATGTCTTGAGGTGTGATAATCATAGTATAAGCTGCATAATTGACTACGGTCCGTTGAATTATTAGAAAATAATGCACACCCGCTTTGCGTCGTGGCCGCTTTAGCATTAACTCAGGTGAGCATTATTTTCGAATAATTCAATGGTCCGGAGTCAATTTACTCGTTTGAACTCTTTTATCATAAAAATACATTTTCATGTGTTTCACTGCCTCCTAGTTTGTGCACTTACAGAACGTGTTGAAATGTCAACAATCTGACTAGTTTTAGAATAAGGAGAGATTTTCACTATGAACATTCCCAGCTCCTGATTGGCTGGAGACTCTGGCATTTCCAGTTCTAGTGCGATCTGATAGGGCTGGCCGTATGTCATTACCTGTAGGCAGGAAAGAGAAAAGCAAAAAACAGCATGGGTATATATGAAATATTATACCACTCAATCTATTTTGGAAAAATGTCCACTGTGTACAGTATGCAAATATTCTGTATGCATGGAATCTCCCGATGACTGCACAATATGTGCAGTATACAAACTGAGCCCACTGTAGAGCGCCGTGACTGAATAAACCAAAAGTGATGTCTGCCATGATTTTGAGGATATTTCTTTCTTAATTATTTGATCAAAACACCCCAAAAGTCAATTTTGCACAAAATTGGACTAAGATGCTAAAATAAAATATGTATTTATTTTTAGCATAACTAAACACCACTGCACTCTAAAAAATGCTGGGTTGTTTTAACCCAACTTTGGGTCAAATTTTGACAACCCCAGCCATTGGGTTACATTTTTTAATTACATTTTCAACCCAACGTTTGGTTTTGTCCATATTTGACCCAAAGTTGGGTTAAAACAACCCAGCATTTTTAGAGTGTGAGATAAACATGCAATGAGGTCATGTGACGACAATGCGGCATGCTGGTGTTTGAAATACTTATTGCATACTTTGCACAGTTTCACATAATAAAGTATAGTATAGGCCTATGTCATAAGTCATTAGTTTGAAAGGATATTAAAAAGTTCAAATTAAAAACTTAAACAAGGATTAGATCAAGGATGGTCACCTGATCCTTTCCATTTTTCAGTAAAGAGACATTAGCCACAGGGAAAGAACACATGGGGTGATGAGGAGATGGACAATCACTCCTGCTGACCAGAAACACATTTGACATGAACAAACACAGATGATTGATATAAAAAACTACTACAGTCAACCCTAGGCTGATCCTGTGACATTTGCCCCAATATTTAAGTATCAAGTTTACCTTAGAAAGCCTACTTTCTAAGTAGGCAAATTTCTAAAGCCTTTAAATGATCAACATGTCAAAACTTTACTGAAAAATGTTGTACACAATCTACTACATGCCTTCTGTCATCCGATTGATAGTTTACTTTTTTAGCAAGTAAAAGCCCTTTTAGTGTCATTCAAAAAACGTGCCCCTTCAGCTCACGATTCATGTGTCTTTTTTGCTGTAGAATCTTTACTAATTTTAATAAAGTAAACATAAGAATAACTTTTATACCTTGGTCCCTGAGAAATATTTCAAGTGGTAGTTTACTTAATCCTGTAACAAAAATCCTGTTAAAATGTACAGTAATCAAATATGATACTTTTGAGGAATCTCTCAATCATCTTTCCATTGAATTGTGTTCTATTGAATAATTCTTCTATGGCATTACTGTAAAAACCCCTTTTGGAACCTTCATTTTTAATAGGGCATAATTTAATAGGGTTTATGCTTAAAAAAAACGTATTGCATTTACACTTATCTGAAAAGCAAAAAAACTGATTAAGAAAATGATTTAAGTTAGTGTATCCTAACTAACATCTCACCTGTAGAAGAAATTGACAGGTGTGACGAAATTGGCTGTGGGCATAAAGGAATAATAGAAACTGCCGTAGAGGAATAAAGCCACCCAGAACAACAGCAGAATCACACAGATCAGAACCGCTATTTCCAGAACCTT